CACAACGCTGACTCTCCCCTCCCCTCCCCCCATTTCCAAAAAATCAAGAACAGGGTGTCTAGCATCAGAAAAAACCGAAAAATATCAGGAATTTTGGCTGATCAGGAAAATATCAGGAAAATCGGAAAAATCGGACGTTTTATCAGGAGTTTTTCTTACGCGAATTCCTCAACGGAGAAAGTCTTACTGATTTTCGCCTACCGTGCCAGGAGTCGAAGAAAATCAGGAAAATATCAGGAATTTTCGAAATGAAAAAATCAGGAATTTTTTTATAAAATATCAGGAAAAATCAGGAAAATATCAGGATTTTTCAAAATTTAAAAATACTAGACACCCTGAGAAAACCCTGAGATAACTACTTGAAAACAATCCGGGGGTTTTTATGGGAGACATTTCGCTGAAATACGACGGGAGGAGATCAACAAAGGTGTGATAATACGTGATTAGATTTGTTTTATTCATAGTTTTACTGGAAGACTGGAGTGGAGACCGATGGAGTGGGGGTTGAAGAGGGGTGGGAGGGTGAGTAAGTGCGACACGCGCTCCGTTTGATAGGTCAAGCGCCGAAAAGATTCATTTGGGAAGGGCGGGATTTTTAATTTATTGCACGTTTTTTCGAAGCCCCCCCCTGGCTTGGATTTGTTACGTAACGCTGGGCTTGATCCCCCCTCCTTGTAACGCACCGTAACGCTGGATCAAACACCCTTTTCCCGTTACGTGCGTCACGTAATACGTGAACAGCCCCTTGAATAACGTCTTTACGATGTAGGATCCTCCACGGAAAACCAAGGACTTCGGCCACGGCTGAATTTTTGTTCATAATGGAGACGTTGCATGTGTGAGGAATTTGCAATTTGACTGTTGACTCTTTTGTAAAAGTTCGCGAGCAACACGATGGTGCCACCGGTTTTCTCTGAAATCAACTCCCAAGCTCATAAAAAGCTCTCAAGTTGAGGCCAAAATGGAGGAGATATCCCATGCTATCCTGAGAGTCCACCTCTACATCAAGACAAACTCTCCATGCAAAGATAGAGAGAAAATACATTAGCAGGGTTGCCGTGTTTTCAGTTTTGGAGTCTCCAAATAAAGTGGCAGCCCTGTCAATGTATTTGCTCCCTATCTTGGCATAGAGAGTTTGTCTTGATGAAGAGGTGGACTCTCAGGATAGCGTGGGGTATCCTCTCCATTTTGGCCTCAACTGGAGAGCTTTTTTTGAGCTTGGGAGTTGATCAGAGAAAACCTGTGGCACCATCGTGTTTCTCGCGAACTTTTACGTAATTATCAACAGTCAAATCGCAAATTCCTCACACATGCAACTTCTCCAATGAGGAAATATCGATTTTCGATCATGCCACTGTGGTCGCCTGGTGTTCTTGTCGTGGAAAGTGGTAGCGCGGGCTCCGAAAGTCGGGCGTTTTGCGTTGCAGTTCTCCCGCCGTCGGACTCGAGCGATCGAATGTTTGTTTACAACTGTCCGCGCGGTGCGGTGCCCTCACGCGTCGCGGCGCGCGGCGCCTCGCCTCGGGCGCCGCGACGCATGCGTCGGAGGGCGCCCCGACGACAACCGGCTCGGCTCGCGCCGCGACGCTGCCGTTTTCCCGCCAAATCCAGGGGCGAACCCCCCCCCCCGCCCGGTGCCTCGCGCACCGTCGTCGTTTGAAGTCAGGGATGACTATTTTTAAATCTCTACCTTGGGGGGGATTCGCGTCCGGAGATCAAGCAGTGACGTCAGATTAAAAGTATTGCGTCATCGAGTTAAAATGGAGAACTGGGAACATCCCGAGCGATATCAGGTATTGTCAAGATAGAGCGGGTGCATTACCGTTTCGCACGATTTATATGGTTGTTAAGCTTGACTGATAGCACACTGAAAAAAAAGTCAGACATACCGTCCGTTCCGGGCTCAGAGGCTGGAAGTTCTGGGTGCTGGAGCCGTAGATTAGGTTGCTCTGGGTGCTACGACCGGAACGCAAACGGTATGTCTGAATAGCCCAGAAGTACGGCTTCCACGGCCGGATTTTTTTTAGCGCGGAAAATGTAGAACTTGATTTTTCCGTTAAAATAAAAATAAAGCTAATTCCGTACGCTGCTATGCTAATGTAAAACGCCGTATGAACTTTCGAATGCTGCAGAATTTCCTCTCAGAAGATATTTATTTTTGAGGAAAATAATGAATATTTTTTCATGAAATTTTCAGACATTTAAGATCAAATTAGGAACAAAATCCTCTGAAAAATTGGAGGAAAATTGTCATCGAAGATTCCTGAAATTTCGTGATTTTTCGAAGGAAATTTGCAACGTCGAAATCGAAGTTGTGCATTTGTCAGTTTTGCCATCGATTTGCTATTCGCACGCAGTCGCACCAAAAGGAGGAAAAGGTAAACTAGAAACTCTCCGATACTTGCACCTCCCGAAGAAATCGGCGCGATTGAGCAGTGAAGCGCCTTCATTTCCGCGTGACACCTCTCGCATTACCGCAAAGTTAATTTAGTTGCGTGACCCAATCTAACCCAACTCGAGTCTCCTGGGGCAGTTCCACGTTTTTGCTATGGATTTGAATCGGGTTGGCATCATTATATATTGAATTGAATCAATACCGGAAAAAAACACATCTAGACACCGATCGTATTCTGCTGTATTACTGATATCTCTTCCGATTGTCAATTACAGGCGAAAATGTTACTTCTTTTAGCGTAATATCAACCCAATATTTCCTATTACATCCATGGCTCTGAGTTTATCGATCCCTGATGTTGAAAAATCCGTATATCTAATGTAGCGTCTACAAATGTCCATTTCTTTCATTTATTCGTTTTTAGTGTATTTTCCATAGGAAAAACACTATATTTTACTCGAGAAGACCAACCGAAAAATCATCTTGAAATATCCGGAAAAACACTGGGCCAAGATGGAGAAAAGAGCGCAGAAATTCATCTCCTCAACGACTTACGACCTACTATGCCGGGCTGAGGAAGAAATGTCATATGAACGAACATTCGACTGTTGCCAAATTTTCTCTCAGGAAAGTTTGATTTTTAAGGAGTCATGAATATTTACTCGAAATATTTGGACAGTTCGGATCCACCCAATTTGTCTACCTCCTTTGTCCATTTCTACCACCCGTTAACGTCGATAGGATCCCTTCGAGTCATTTTTGTCTTCTTTGTTTATCGCTTTGTCTACCAACAGGGTGTCTACAAGTCCGGAAAGTCCGGAAATAGTACTGATTTTTTAAGGGCGGTCCGGAAGTACTGAAAAAGACCGGAAATTCCGCAAAAAGGTCCGGAATTTTTTTAAATTTGTTGTCATTTTTGTCGCAATTTCAAATTTTTGAAATTTTTGAAATTTTTCTAATTTCGTCAAATGGAGGTACCGAAAAAGTACTGATTTTTTCTGTCTGAGGAGGAACTGAATTTCTTGAGAATGTACTGAAAAAGTACTGTAAAAGTACTTATTTTTGATCAGCCTGTTTTAGTAGACACCCTGGATAGGATCCCTCCGCATCATTTTTGTCTTCTTTGTCTATAGCTTTGTCTGCCAATTTCAACAATCAGCTCCCAGGTCCGGATGAAAAGTTTGCATCCTGGTTCGTAGAGCGACGCAACATCGGCGGGGTGCGGGTCAGCGCGACCCCTCGACGGCGCCCCCCCCCCTCCTGCCGCCACCCCCACGACGCGTCGCGACGCGGCGCGCGTTCTCCGTCCCTCGACGTCGCGTCGGAGGCCACCTGTTGATTGTTGAATCGTCGCCCCTTTGAAGTTTTGATCCGATCCGCTCTCCCGATATCCGCCCCCCGTGCCCACCCCCTTCCTCCGCGGCGCATCCTACGGCCCGTCCCGACGACCCCTCGCGATGATCAAATCTCGCCTCGCGCTGGCCAGGGTCCATGAGACCGGGCTTTTTGGCTTTTGCCACCGCGTACCGTACTGCCGTGCGAAGGAAGAACGCCTTATGAACCTTTAGGCGTTGCCAAATTTCCCTTAATAAAACACGAATTTCTTGGTCAATTTATAAATATTTTTCCTCCAATTTTTCAGATAATCTTGCCCGCAATGGAGAATTTGCATGCAAATTTTTTATTGCTTCATCTGAAAGTGCTTAAAGAGCTGATTTCACAGTATTTTTTGTAATTTTTTTCCGACATGGAAAATGCTTTAAAAATAGATTTAAAAGAGAGAAAATGCACCGCCTAGTGACGTCATCTGGCGGCATTTCCCATTTAAACACATGTATTTTAGCAGAATCAGTTCTTTTGTCATTTCTCCTCTAATAATTGCTCAATTTATGAATGAAGGGTATCTCAGTGTTCAGTTCACTCAGTAGAATCCACTTAAACACGAAATTTATCAAATTTCAGACCCTTGCAAATTCTCCATTCCATCGAAAAGTCATGAAAATTTCTAGGGGAAATGTTCGTAAGTTATTTCGGAAATGGACATTTTATCGAAGGAATTTTGGCAACTCCCGAATGTTCATGCGGCGTTCTTCCTTAGCACGGCAGCCTAGCCTACGGGTTGTGGTGGACGACAGTAGGCCGATTTTTGATATTGATAGGTGAAGCTATAGACAAAGGAGACCAAAGGGATATGGAAGGATCCTATTGGTGGAAGCGGGTGGTTTCAATTGACAAAGCAGGGTTGCCACAGTTAGGGAATACCAGGAAATACGAGAAATGTTAGGGAATTTTGAAAAGTCAGGGCAGGGTGTCTACAAGTCCGGAATCTCCGAAAAGTCCGGAAATAGTATTGATTTTTCAAGAGCGGTCCGGAAGTACTGAAAAAGTCGCACCGCATGAAGGTCCGGAATTTTTTTTTCATTTTTCGTCATTTTTGTCGCATTTTAAGCGAGAAATTCAAATCTTTGAAATTCCTCGAATTTCTTCAATTGGAGGTACTGTAAAAGTACTGAATATTTTCGTTAAGAAGATACTGAATTTCTTGGGAATGTACTGAAACACTCATTTTTCTTCACCCAATTAAAAACATTCTTTTCTTTTTCAGAATGCTGGGCCCGCACCAAGTCCTCTCGGTCAAATGCCTCCCAATGATGGCATGGCGGGAGGCCCCATTCCTCCTGGTTTCTTTCCTGTAAGTATTTTCTTGTTGATTTATTTTTGGCATCTGCAATTTTGATTAAGCCAGTACTTCAATAGGTTTGTCTCGCTGGGCTTAGAATCGTGTTTTGATGCTATTCTTGTAGATCAGCTAAAAATAACAAGATCTGTTCCATCAGCAACTTTCTATGTTCAATATTAACCAAGATATCGTGCTTTGGAAAATTCGGTTTACGACGTCATCCACCACGGTAGTGACAACCTTGATTTTTTCCACCTTGATTTCATCAGTCAGGGAAACACACATTTGCACTGGTAACTTAAAGTGTAATTCGGATGAAAGCAAGGTGGATGAAACCAAGGGTGTCACTACCTCGTTGGATGACGTCATAAACCGAATTTTTCAATATCTCTGTTAATATTGGACGTAGGAAGTTGCTGTTTGGACGGATCTTATTATTTTTAGCCGATCTACAAGAATCAAGCACCAAAACACCATTCTGTAACCAGCGCGACTGACTCATTTCCAATCCGTTCCCCCTGAGGTTCGCAGCAGTGCATAGACTTTATCCACTTGCCATATTTTTTGCCTCTCACATTAGAAGTGACCGAGAAATGTCGGGGAATTGTGTTTAATTTAATATACCGAGGATCCAAAAAATCAAGAATGATTATCAAATCTTTAAAATAAATACTAGTGTGGTAAAAAATTTTCCGATTATCCTTCAGGCTCTTGAGAAGATTTATTGGTAGTTACGAGGAGGGGACAGGTTGCTGATTTCGAGTCAAGAGGAAGAATATGAGTCCTAGAACATTTACAGTGGGAACTTACCACTCTCATTAAATTAAACAAATTGTTTAAATTAAGAGTAATGGTACCTTAATAACAAAGTGACCAGTTACAATGATCAGTGAGAAGCATTCATGTTGATCACACCAGAATGATAGTGCAATCGAATGGAGTAGGGCCATGGCGACCGAAGATACTTATGTCCCAATCACTTACCAGCAACCGTTTGCAATATTTTAACAAGAGAAGTCCAGAGAAATTTAATCAGTTTAAATCGGTTCGGAATTCTGTAAGAAAAAGAAAGCAATTAAAAACATTGAAGCTGCTTAAAGGTGGGTTAGATCCTCGTTTCATGTTTTCTATGTTCTACATGTTTAGGATATTGTGACGTGAATCGCCTAGTTAGTTATCTTACTTTCTATGTTGTAAAAATTACCGTGAACTATGCACTAGAAGGTGAATGTCCAATTGCCCACTGAGTCTCGCTCCTTATGTTTCCTCTTTCGAATAGACTTCACTTCATTTCATGTGTCTTCTCACGCATGTTTTCATCCAGATACACGTATGAACATATCTGGAAAAATTCGCTAGAAGTCCAATGCATACTTGATTTATTGATTCCATGTTTCTGAAAATATTCATACTCTTCTAATGAACCGATATTAGCAGGCAAGGTGTTACACTCAAATATGGGCACCTGGTTCCACTACCAAAGATTTCCAGCTTTATCTTAAGAAGAAAAAAATGAACATTGTTCACAAAATCTAATTGAGGACTTTACTTTACAACATGAGAGGCTGAAGAATAGCTAAAATTTTAAAGACAAAAAGTAAAAAATGGGAACATGAGCAACATTTCCAGAGCAACTGAATTTTCTCGCCAGCGAGCGGATTTTTGAAATAGATGGACACAGTGATCGACAAAGAAAACGACGAGAAAATGGTGCACCATGCACTTTAAAGCACCATGAAGGAAAAATTTTAATACTAATTTTCTTTTCTTTACTAATTTTGAATTTAATTACTTTTCTAAAGGAGTCTGAGGAAGGCCTTCCAGTTTAGCGTATCTATTATTCCTCGGATACCTGAAAGAGTATTCCCCAGAATAATTTTCCATCGTCTTAAGTCTACTTAGAATAATTTTTCCTTGTCTCAAGTCTACTCAGAATATTTTTGGAACCTTATCTGCTCCCTCTTTCCTCTCATTTCTTCAAATTCCCAGCCCCGTTTGTCAAATATAGATGATGGTTAGCCTTCCCATTTCCCTTTGGGTAACTAACAAATATTTCACTAAATTTTTTGCACTTCTCTAAACTGCCTTGTTGGCTCTGCACAGATCTGTTCTAAAGGAACTTACCTAAGTACGTGTGGGGTGGGTGTGCACAAATTATGTTTCGTCGTGCTTTAACAGTGCTATACAGGGATATGCCCTCAACTCACAAGGATGTTCAAGAACCTTTTTTTGAAATTGTCCATGACGAAAGGGATTTTAAAGGAAAATATGTCAAGATTATGAGACTGGCATCGTTGCAAAGAGGAGTGCATCCACACACATTTTAGCGTTTATAATCCTCAAAATTGGAACGTTACTGATTTGAATGTGCGCTTCTAAGAAAGTCGTTTTGAGTGACTTTCAAAGAAGAGTTTAATTCATCCCGTTTGGGATTTAAAATTGCCGGATGGTAGTAATACTTTAAGCATCGAGACCTGAAATTAAAATTCTTCAACTGAACCTCTGATTATTGACCCATATGCTTTAAAGTCGTTTTTATTGTGGACTTTTTTACTCCTCTAGACCATTATAAAGACTTCCTTGCTGAAGAAGGAAGTGGCAAGATCTGGCTAGTTAATTGCTCTTCTCTTTTAATTTACCGTGCCAAAAGAAAGAAGAAAATCAGTGATTTTTTTATTTACCGACTGAATTTCTCTTTCCGTTTCCTTTACGAAAGAACGTAACTACCTTTCAATGTTGCCATATTTCCTCTCGCAAATTGCATTATTACCTTAAAAATCTTAAGCAATTCGGACTGAAAATGCCACTGATCCGATCTATTGCAAAAACTAGAGTAACTTGAGTATGGACATTTCGCCCCTCTGCACTTTACATGGATGCCTTAGGACCCATCAATGGCGATACTCAATTAACAGGGTTGCCATAGTCAGGGAAAATCGGGAAATGTCAGGGAATTTTAAAAAGTCAGGAAAATCGGGAAATGTCAGGGAAAATTTGTTAAATCACCTTCATTTGCTTTCTAGAATGGGTTTGAGATTTTGAACAAGAAATTTTGCCTGAAAACTATTTTCAAGTATGCCTTTTTAACTACTTGTCTCTCTTCAATTATCAGGGAATTTCCCCAAAATGTGTCAGGGAAATCAGGGAAATTTCAGGGAATTTCATTTCCTAAATTCTGTGGCAATCCTGAATTAAGTTACTCTCGCAAAAACCAGAACAATATTGGACCAAAATCGTACTTGTTAAAAATTAAATTGTTAAATACATACTTGTAAAAAATTAAATTGTTTGAGTCTATTTTGCAACCTTGGAAGGTAGTTATGATCCTTCGCCTGGGAGACAACGGAATCATTACATGAGTTTGAAACATCACTGTCAATTTTGAATGTCGTCGGTGGAGCTCGGATGGAGAATTGCATGTTGCACCAAGCACCGCACCGATGGCTTTTCGGAGCAAACCAAAAGGCTTAGCAAAAAATGTGTGTTTATTTTCAGAACTCAACTATGAGGCCATCTCCTCCCACACATCCGTCATCACAGCCGTCCCCTCACCCTCAGCCCCCACCTCCTCATAGCCAAATGATGGCCAGTCAGGTAAGCGCACCTCCCTTCAGTGCATCCCTCTCGCTTAGTGTTGGGGCTTTTTCCCGAAAAATCGATCCTTCGAATCGAGTCGATTTTCTTCGAGAATCCGATCTCATCGATTTAAATCGTGACAGAAAAATCGATTTCAAACAATTGGAAATTACGAAGGCTCAAAATTCGCACTCTAAGAAAAATCGAATCAAAACAGCCGGGAAGTTTGCTAAAATGTGGGTCCAACACAGAAAAAAAAGTATGGTAACATGTACTATAAGTCTACTAGATTTTTTACTCAGTGATAATATTTAGTGAAAATAACCAGAACTACATTAGTATTCACCAGAACCCTGGTGATACTTACCATTATATGGTAAATGTAACCATAGAGTCTGGTGTTATTACCATACTCATATCATTGTGTCAGAGCGTACTAAATTCTACCATATTTTTTTTAGGATCGGCTAATGCGTTAGTGCGTTCGGGTTGCAAAAATCGAAAATATTGATTTTAAGGGAAAAATTCGACTCATACAATCAATTGAATCGAAGAAAATGGATGCGATTTTATCAATTTTTCTGGTTTAAAAATCGATTTTTCAAGAAAATCGATTTCAAAATCCCCAACTCTACAGTCGCTTTTTGTGATGGAGTCGGACAAAATGTGCCTTAAGACGGAGAGGGTCAAGGAAATACCAGAGGTAACCATACCACAATGCAGAGTGGATAACGGACTGCATTTTGCAATTAGAGACTTTTTTTGACTCATGCACATATAAGCACCTATCTGCATTGGGAAATTAATGACACATAAGTTGTTTTTAAAATGAACTAGAAATTTTAGTTCCTAACTGCGAAATGGAATCCACTGCTGCATTATTTGGTGCAAAGAACGCCCAATAATGGACCAGTCGACAAGGTAAAGAGTTTAAGTACTCTGATACTTGTTTTCTTACCAATATTTCACGTAAATCACGATTCACACCATGAAATCTACTGAAAGGAACTCCTAACCAAGATATGTAATGTTTCTTGACGCTTAAATTAACACCTCCCGCTCTTGAAAAAAGAAAAGTCAATGTTAGTCAAATCACATACTACATATATATGTTACCGAAGCAGTCTCTGCGGTATGAAAATATGGCAGCCTTAATATTGACGCTTTGGCTCAGCTATAGCTAGTTGTTTACAATTAGAACAACACAGGGTGCGAAAGGAACAATGCTTGATTGAAAAGCATACCAAGACCGTTGTAGTACGCGATTTGATGGAAGTAGGCAATTGTTTTCTTGTGAGCGAACAATTCAAATACCTCGTGACCCATGTAAATTGAAAACCTTAATATCTTAGGAGTTGCTTTCAGTAATTTTTGTTGTGCGAATTGTGTTTCACATAACTTCTGCTCACAAACTTCTATCAGAATGCTAAAATTTGTATCTTGTCGACTGTATGGGGAATTCGCTGTTATTGTTTGCTGGCACCGTTGCCCTATACCAATTATATTTTGAACTTCTAACCAAACGTTCTCGTGAGTATTGGAAAGAGCACGCGTCTTATTTTTTAACCCCCAACTGGTCTTTTTTCGCTGTACTGATCAGTTTGAGTTTCCACCTCGAGGCACTTTGCTTGGCTCCATCACATTTCATGAGTGGCGCGTTTGTTTCTTCCTGTCAATCGACGTTGAAAATTCAACCGAGAAATGTGTGATGCGTTTGTAGATAATTAGTGTGGACCTAATGTAACCCCAAGTATCCTCAGTGACATAATCTTGCTTGAATAAATCCTGTATCATCAAAATCACGTATCACAAGTTTTTTCTCGTGATACACACCTCTCCTTTTATTGAGATACTCGTCAGAATAAACTTGAGTCAACTCTTAACTTGTAATGTCGCAAACAGAGACACGTGGTTTTGGAGTTTTACCATTAAAATGTAATTCCTATTACTTGTCCAGCATTACCTTTATTCATTCATTTGTTTGTGTTCGCTTTATTGTGGTAGTTTCAAAGCTCTCATTTTTTATCATCAATCATTTTGTTTCATGAAATATTACCTCTCATATCATTGCTGCTGCATACTGTGTTTCTTCCAATTTTAAGTGAGATTGAAGATTGCAGTAAAAATGTGTCACTGAGTGTTGTAGGAGTAGATCCTAGATCATGTTTTCTCAGGAGTCCCTGAAATTTGTCACCGCTATCGATCAATTTCTCCTCAGACACTTATTCTTCCTTATGGCTTGTTGCTCATCAGTTTTCCACTTTCTCCCTGTCCTTTCCTTTTTTCTTGTTTATCTGAAATTTGTACGCAAGTGTGTTTTTCCTCCCTACATTTTGCTTCTCCGAAATTTTTCATTGCACCAATTGTACCTACTTCTATTTGTGGCACCTGTTAAAGTTGATGGCATTTAGTAGAAAGGAACAAACGCGACTACACTGTTGTAAGAATTGTTCATCTTCATCTTTATCAAAGAAAAATGACTAGAATAGCGAATAGTTTTACTTGTATTTATTATTGTTCAAAGTAAAGAAGAAAGATCGCTCGATTTTGAAAAAACTTACTACCGTTGGCTCCTTTCTGCTGAATTCGATTCAAATATAGACAGGGTAAAATTCTGGTGAGACGGAGAGGTCCTCAATTTCTTGATGGTGGGCTTGGAAAATATCCGTATAAATCGTCAGGTGGAAATGGCATCCCCCAAGATGAGGGAGGAAAATTATGGTTCCCTCATCGTAAAAATATTAATAGAAGAATCAGACATTGATAGTGATCTATGTAATATGATTGAGATCCTCTGAATCAAGTAACTCGAGTTTTCTATTTGAGATATCTGGGGTATCGGATCCAAAATAACATTCTTTTTACAATGCTTATCGCTTCAATTTATTTCTTTTGCCCTTTGAAAGTCCCATGTCTTAAGTATTTGCCCGAAGATAAGTCCCTTTTGCTTCATTCATTATCCTTTTAGCATCGGCTGTTATAAAGAAGTTGATGAACTCAGAAATTTGAAGGAGGAAAGCTCCTTAGAAAATTGTTAAAATATCCGATTAAGAAATCTATTTTGCTTTGCTTTGTGTAAAAATGCTGCTTTACTTTTTTAATAAGTTTTTTACCAATTTATTTGAGTAAATAGCCATAACTTTATCTAAAGTGTTTTTTATGCAGTTTATTTTGTGATTAGCAATAATAAGAGTGATTTACAGAATTAACAAAATTTCAATGCCAATTTTATTCCTTGACTTTTTGATGAAATTTTCTCGCACATTTTTTTAAAAAGGTTTCAGAAGGGTCTCTTAACTCGTAAATTCTAACGGGTTTTTTATGGTTATTTTTTTTAAGTTCAAATTCAACAGTCTATGCTACTAAGGATTACCTTGCAACAAAGGCTTTTATTGAAAGTTTTTACGGAAAATTCGAACACCTCACCTCAAGCAGCTGCCACCTGTTAAGTCTTTTTCTGGATTGGGCATTGTAGCATTGTAGCAAGTTTTGTCGGTGAAAAAAAAATGTGCTTCGTTTGGCTTTCAAGTTCATTCCATGTAGGTTTTCATGAGTGTGTCCCTGTATTATGAGTGTAGTTTTGTTCACGGAAAATCAATATCATTGAGGGTTTTGATTCTCACTCCTCTTCTTTTTTTTACAGCCGTTTATGGGTCCTAGGTATCCAGGTCCAAGGCCAGGAGTTCGGATGCCTCAACTTGGAAATGATTTCAATGGAGTAAGTATTTACTTTTATCTTTTGATTAAATTACGCTGTCGATTAACGACAGTCCTCGGGAACAGGGTCCATGGGGCAAACTGAGCTTTGATGACTCACAGTTTGCTCGGAAAATTTTGCATATCTTGTACCAAAATAGTCTTGAAATATCTTGAAACAGAAGAATGAAGAGAACATTGTAGCCGTGATACCCTAATTTTTTCGGTTTTATTACATGCTGCTAAGTGCTTTTCAGCTCACATAGCCATCTTCAAGTCATACCGAAAATCGAACAGTCAATAAAGCGAAGTAAAACGATACACCAATAAGTACAGCATATTCTAGAAGTGTCTTACACAGAAAATCTTAAATTAATTCTGGTACAAGAATGAGAAATTAGACAAGCAGAGAAGGCAGTAAAAGCAAGGTAGTAGAGAGGTATGATCGCAAAGTAATTACAAGTATCAAGAAGCATTACTTCTAGCGCTATCAAATATTTTGCTTCAGTCAAATGCTGTTCAAATGCTTTTCAAATAGTTCAACAAACAGCCACTATGATGGGTTGCAGCAGGAGTCAATCAGAAAATTACCTGCTAAATTTAAATCTAGTTATACATTCAATAAAATTTTATTATAAAGCATAGCCTTTCGAATTTTAAAAATTCTCCAATGTCCCTATAAGATTATGGTCTATGGTAGTATGACGTACAGATGCATTATTGCCAACGCTGTTTATTGCGAGGTTCACCTCATTAATGTGTTTGTGTGTGTCAAGAAATATCTTTCTAAAAATTCGCACCAATATCTTAACGTTGAGTTTGTACACAATAAGATCCCTTCACCGCTAGATGGTTGTGTATGTCAAAAGATGATTTATTTCTCAAGATTAAACTACTTCCCCCACACCTTGTGGAAGGGAAAAAATTAACCTTGATTTGTTGACTGCATTTCTTCCTTATACTGTGCGAAAATCGGGAATTTCTTAAAATCCTATGCTGATGCAGAACTGAAAAAGTCATGGATATTTTTGCTTGGTTTTTTTTTGCAATGGAACTCCTATGTGTATACACAGGGGTTTGCAATTTTATAATTTTTCCTTTTGTAAACTTTCACAAGAATCACAAAGGTGTCATACGTATTCTCTGGAACGAACTCCCATGCCCCAAAAAAGTACTTGAAGTTGAGGCTACGCTGTGAGTCAACTTCTATACCCAGTGAAAATATCCTTACACAAATGAGGGACGAATATATTAGCAGGGTTGCCACTTTGTTTCAGACTTCAAGGCTGGAACCACGGCAACCCCTCCAATATATGCGTCCCCTACTTGTGCATGGAGAGCTTGACTGGATATAGAGGTGGACTCTCAGCATAGAGAGAGGGATCTTATCCATTACGGCTTACATTTCAAGAGATTTTTTTAGAGCTTGGAAGTTAGTTTCAGAGAAAAGTAGTGGCAACATTGAGTTCCTCCCAAAATTTTACATAAGTGACAGTATTTAAATCGAAAATTTTTGCAAAAACTCCATTTAACTTGGTAGATAAAATTTTAAGCACCAAATTCTACTTATTTGATATAAAATGACCCTAATTTATGATATTAACTCTCATTATAGCCTCCTGGTCAACCAATGATACCAAGTGGAATGGATCCTTCTAGACAAGGTAAGCTTTTTTTCTTTCATTATCTTCCCAGTCCTTTAATTTTGTCTTGATTTTTTTTTTTTTTTAATAATTTTTTTAATCCTTTTTTTTCTATTAATTTTTCCCTGCTTTTCTAACACTATTGATTATTCATTCAAATGGTCATAGTTTCATTTTTGAACCATTCCCTTCGACTTGATTGAAGTGTGCTAATTATTCGTTAGTTGAGCAGGTATTCGCTTCTATCTCAGTTTGGTTTTTTTTTCGTGCATTTTTTCTTTAAAGTCTTTCATTTATTCTTTTTTTATCTTGATTTTTGCATCACATGCATCAGACTTCACTGTGTTTACCCATACGTTTTGTTATCACATGATTTATCCCTCCTTTCTCAAATAACCTAATGTCAATCTCTTATTTTCTAGGGTGTTCTATCAGTTGTCGGCAAGCTATCGAAACAGTTCTGTTAAAGAGAATTAATGATAAAAAGTCCTTTATCAATAGCAATCAGAGTGCTCGAAGCTAGCAAAAATGAGCAGTTCCTATCAGTTTTACGAGCTAAGCTACCCGACAGACAGTCATACAACAATGCTTTAATGTGGAGCTCATGCATGTCAAATAGTGGCAGCCGTTTCCAACAAGCGCAGCTTAACTAGAATGTATTGGAATTTTAGAACAAGCAGTATTGATAGCTTACCGACAAGGATTTGTAATAACATCCCTATGGCAGGCCAATCTTAAGCACCCAAAGTATATAATTCACATTTAACTATTCGAGCCCAGACTCAATTTTTCAATTTTCTCCAATTCTTACCACCAACTCTGCAGTAACTAATCTAATTTCGTTCTGAAAATGGCAGTTTTCATTGCTCTGAAGAGGAGGACTTCAAATATTTTTTACAATTAATTTTATCCTAAAGTTAGGAAGGACCGCAGACTTCAGTACAAAATAAATTTAAGATCAGTACCTTTCTTGTCCATCTTTAAGTAGTTATAAAGTCATTTCATATTATCATCATTGGTCAATTAAGTAAATGTTGACCAAAATCATGAATGAATAACGTTAATATTTAGAAATGGTTGCGCTGTGTTACTCTGCATCATTTATCTAACTTATGGTTCTCAGTTTAGATATTCATCAGGAACTTTCATGATAAAGATATTTTAGTTTTAAGTAATGTTTCTCAGTATTAAGATAAAATTAAGGTAATTTTCACTTAGTAGAGGCTACCAACGAAGCTGATCATTCAGAATTTGAAGGTCTCTTTTGAAATGAATGCGTGCATGCCTAAAGGTGCTGACTAGTAAATGTGTAGAAGTCAAAGGAATCATGTCTAGTAGTAAATTTAGGGCTGTCGATCATCGCAAAAACAAATGAAAGAAAACACTGACCTTTGGACTATTGAACGCCAAAGATTAAAAATGTGAACTTTCAAAATTGAGGGCGTAATTTTTGTTCTATCTTTGTCAATTATCTGCCGCCTACTCATTCCTCTGTAATAGTAGAAAAAAATCTTTAATAATTAGAAGTTTCTCAGGAGTTTTTTTCCTCGTGCTCTTAAAATGTGAAAAAATGCCTAGTCTCCTCGGAACATTAATTATCATGATGGGGACCAAATGCCTCGAGCACTTAATTCAAGAGTGATGTTATTAATTGAGGTATGCAGGAGCTATTGCATCTACATGCCCTTTAAGACAATATGGAATAATTCCATTTGTGCAATCTAAAGGAGGGTTAATTTTTACTGATATTTTTCGTCCTGATATATAGCTGTAGCTTATACTAAGTCCTTAGCTGTACATTTATTAGTCATTGAATCTGAATTTCTATCCTAAGTGATCAGATCCATTAAATAATTGGATGTACTGCAAAGAGTTTACTTACTGTATACTCCTTTTTTACGCGTAAAAGTAAAAATTGACTTCGTTTGAGATGAGCTGAGCTAGGGCTACTGAGATCTAGGATTTATGGGCCAGTGGGGGCATTTTTGGTGCAGGCCCCCATAAAACAATCCTCTCTAGAAAAGAGAGGTTTAGAAGGGAGTGGGGGGGACTCCCTTGATGAAATTTGAAATTTTCAACTCCTCTTGAAAGCAATATGAGGCGTTGCTTGATAAAAATTGTGAGGACAGAAAAGGTAAAAGGGTCCCGCACAGACTGAAACTAAGCCAGTAGAAACAAGGGATAGTACTATTGTCGAAAAAGATTCAGAAGTTAATGTGTTGAGAAGGTAGGGAAAAAAACTTTAGTAACCTGGGCCCCCATCTTAACACCTAGTGCACCTATATTACATTGTAAATCCGGCTCCGGGCTGGACCTAACAGATGGAAGAAATTTTTGTGTGAGGGTTATAAAAAAATATGTCGCAAGACTGAGCCTTATTATTTTAGCCAAGGAAAGGCCCTGAGAATTAAAAAGTTCACGAAATTAAAATCTCCTGATGAGTAAGATTTTGAGAAGATTTCACTCTGAATGAAGTGCTGAAATTTTGACTGATCGGAAAACCTGTCTGATGCTGATTTACAACTGAAATCACCCTGATGTTATGGTATTACCGTGTGTAATCTCATTTCATTCTTATGTTTCTCTACCCATAGGTGAAGGCGGTGATTATGTAAATTGGCAAGGTAGGCTAACGATATTTTACCTGTTTTTATTCAATGTTTAGAGCATTATCATTTGCTTTTGTCTCCTCTCAATTGAACGCCTTTCTTCTATCCGCACCTACGCTTCATTTGTTCTCAACTTTTTGTACATAAAATAATCACTGTCCGCCTGGGATATCTTGACTCTATCTGGAATGCTGTTCGTGATCTGAATCCATTCCACGTAGCTTATGAATTATCTGATGTTTTATCGTGAGAAATATTGTCAGTATGTAATAAAGTAGCTCAGTCGGGAGTTTGCTCATTGAGACCTTCACAAATTCCCAAATTGCTCTCTATCCGGAACCTAAATGCATATGTTTTAATATTTCATGATTTCTAACCTTGGTGATGATGCTGAGATAAATGATGAGCATCTCAAATCTGAAACAAGAAAAGAAAAACGTTTTACTGTATGTAAGGAAAGGAACCATAGTGCTGAAAAATTCCATCCAGAGTTATCAGGGTGTCAAATGAAGGAGAAAACAGGGAAGGTCAGGGTTTTGAATTTCGAATTCGGTCAGGGGAAGTTACAGAGAGATTAGACGTAACCAGAAACATTTTTGACACCTGTACTGCATTCCAGTGTGATTTCAAAAGTAAATTCCGTGAGTGAAGTGAGGGACCTAAGTGAAGTTGAAAAATTCTGCACATGCACTGAATCATGATTTTACTCAATGATAGGTTTACCACAGTCAAGGAGTACTGGGAAACGTCAGGGGGAAATAGTTGAGTCACTTTTATTTGCTTTCTACAATGGGTTTGACGCCTCCAACAGCAAATTTTGCCCAAAAACTCTATCTAATCATATCTTTTTAACCATCTGGCATATTGTCAATTGCCAGGAAAAACCGAAATGTGTCAAAGAAATCAGGGAAATGTTAGAGAATTTCATTTTCCAAATTCTGTGGCAACCCTGCAATTATTAAGGTTGAATTATTAATTTTAAAAACAACAGGATAATAAGGCCCTACTGAAGATCTTTTTTTACTTGAATATAACCGATTACCGCGACCAGTACACAGGGAAACGCCGTGTACGGTTTTAGGAAGTTTTCGGTATTTTTCTTCACTTTCGAGATTTTTTGCATACTCTGCAGTTCTCGGCAACTCGGGTTTTTCGCATCTCTGTGTGTGGATTGAGTTTCTGGAAGATTTTCTCTCCTTGAACTGTTTGGCGATGCAGGATATATGAGCCCGAAAGCTGTAAGTGATGCAAAAATTGTGTTGAAATGCTGACTCAGATTCTCCCGCGTTGAAACGAATCTGGGTCTCGAGCTTCTTCTCAAGCCAACTGCACCTCAGTTCGTTTTCCTCCTTGATCGCGCTCGCTTCCTGAACCTTTGCATTTTCTGAAAGTTAAGTTGTGTTAAAAACGAACAAAGTTTTGCGAACAAATTTTGTCTTTTGGTCCTGTGCAGTGTCATGCGGGTAAAAAGTCAGTGAAAGTAAAATACGAAGCAGTAAATTCAGTAGTGGTTTATGCCTCATAATAAATTATTTGCTTAAATTTCTTTATTCGTCAGTATGGTGCAAGGTAAATTATTTATAAATAGAAACAAAACTGAGGGAATTCTATCTTCTGATATTTTTTTAATGTTACTGCTTATGTTGAACACTACTTCAAATAGAGTTTGAAATTCCTAAGTCCCTCACAAGTAAATTTTGTTATTTTTTCAACGTCATTTTTTGTTTTGCAGGGTACTGTTGATTTGGGTATCAGGTCCTGACCGAGAGAATCTAAAATGTTTGACTCTCAACAAAATTATTACTTTAGTTCGAAGATTAAATTGACGACGTTTTGCAATAAAGAACTATTATTTCTGGATCATTTTTGTTCCCTTTTGTAGATATGTTGGTATTTATATGGTTGAACCACTTGAACCAGTAAAACAGCACATTTTTGCAAAATGCATTAAAAATGAGAGTTTTAAGTCCAATGATCTTAAAATTCATTTCGCTCTTCCATGAAGTTTTTTTTCTTTTTTGTTAGTTTTAGTTTTATAAAGGCCCAAAATAATATTTAACTTTAAGTCTGTCTGTTTCTTAGTTTCCTCTTTGGTCAGTGTTCTAACTTCACTGAGAATTGGAACTGTTATTTATCTCAAGGGCCCAGGGCCGTAATCCAAATCTTGAGAAAATTGGAAAAAATTGTGTCATTTGGTGTGCATTCAATCTTTCGAGCCCAGTTGTTATAGGTTCTCCTCAGACACATGCATTTTCTGGGCTCAAAATATTGTTTGCAGGTTTTGCCGTTTTCTCGAAAATTGGATCTTGGTGCTCAGGCCCTAAAGAAAAATATTATTAGGAGCCATTTGGCCATCCTTAATTTTAAGATATTGGTTTCACAAATTTTTAGGGGCTTCGAAAATTTTGATTAAAGAGTATGCTATTCTGCAAGTAGTAAGGCCCTGACAGAGGTGAAGACCACACAAATTCTTTAGGCTCCAAATTTAGCACATGCTTCTCATTTGTAGATGCATTGGTGAAATTAGAACACTGATGGTTAGTCTTTATTAATCAGTCAGGATAGTGCGTGTTATATGTATCTGAGAATTCTGTTTCTCAGGGTTACTATGTTCTTCTCCGTTAAATTTTAGTTTTATTCTCTTTTAGTTTAACTATAATTTATTTCTTGCAAACACATAGATGAAAGCTCCAATTTTAAGCAATGCAATGTTTTATAATGCACACGTAGAAAGAGGAAATGTAATTGTCATCTGTAACACTGCCATTGAACCAATATTTTTCGTAATGATCCTAGCGTCAAAATCCAGACGAAAATGGAGAAAAGTGTGCCATTCAGTGTGCTTTCAATCTTCTCAGCCCACTTTTAATACGTATTATTCAAACATGTACATTTTTAGGCTCAAAAGATTAAACGTACTCAGTCTCCTCGTTTTTCTTGAAACTTGGATCTTGGCGCTAAATAAATTATTCTGTTGAGAACCCGATTGGAAATCGGATCTGTTATCAATGAAAATGCCTCCGGTCCATTATATTTGAGGCATGTACCGAGCTTATAATTGGTTTAACTCAAAAACCTCGAATTTAGATTGCTGTATTTTCAAATTGTTGACATTTTATTTTTCTCTAAAGGCATGAAAATTCCTTGTTTAACATTTTTCAAGACTATTCTTTGAACAAAGAAAAAAAATACACATTCGTTCTCAAGAAACACTGTCGATCATTTTTCCAATTTTAATCTGAAGAATCACTGAAAGTCTGCAGCATTGTCAATCGAGATGTGTAGTTTCTGAGCCTAGCCATCGATACGGTCCTATCACTGGTTATCAAAGTTCAGCGGGTCTGCTGCCTCAGTAACAGATTTTTGTTCTAATTATTTGATCCTTTGGTACGCCAAAAACAAGAATAACGGTCCTTATGCCAAGTTTCTACGTTCATGGATCTTAATGTCATAAATTATTTATCATGTACCTCTGAACTCATGGTGATTCCTAGTGGCCTTTTTATTGATACGTTTCTTTCACTGCTGGTGTCTGAAGAGAAATGCTCTTCAAGCAGCAAACATGTTGTCCTCTCTTGAATTAATTAAAGCATCTGGCGAACGGAACGGGTAACTTACATTTCACTGAGAATGATGTTTAAAATTTACATAGGGACCTGCAGCTCTCCAAATATTTGAGCCAATACTGAGGAGCTGTAAATTGGATTTTCAAGGTCAATCATTTTGTCATAGTTCAGTTTGGAACGTTTTTTGTTTTGAATCATCATTTTCTCGAAAATGTCACTTACTCCTTTCGATCACCAGATGCTCCAGTTGGGCTGGCTAACTCTTCAAATTCTTCTGCATGCTTGTAACGCTTCACTCTCTATGTTTTAAATATGTGAGTCCGTACCCTTTTTTCGATTGCTCTTTTCGTAATTTAGAACGGTGAACAGTGGTTGGGTGTCTCATTTTGGTAACAACTGTGCCCAAATTTGTTTGGGTTTTTCTTTTTGTCACCATTTTTCTCTGTAAACTTAGAACTCTCCGTCTTCAAATATAGTTTTTTTTTTTTTTTTTTTTGTATATCAAGTACATTTTTAGCATAACTTAAAAATGACTAGTGTCTTGTTTGCATGTGTTCGTTTTGCCTTGTTCAATGTTTTTTTCTTTTCTTTTCTTATTTGAAATGTGCCATTTTTGAAGGATCAGTCATTGCGATTTCCTGCACCACAATTTGCGGTGAATGGGGGTATCTAACATCTTTGATAATCTTAGGTGCAATACTTACGGCATGCAATGAACAATGCTGAAGTCAGCATTGTGCGAGTTGGTCGGCAAATTGACAACTGCTAAGCCTGTTTGATTTCCTTTGGATAGATTGTAAGCATTAACTTCAGTTGCCGAATACGCCATTCCATTTTGCTGATTGCAAGCCTTATGTGCCGCACCTTAAGGGATTTTACTGCAAAATAATAATTACTTTAGATGATTTTGTACAAAAAAGGGTTAGAAAAATGTGAAAAATAAATCTGTGCCATATTTCCATGTGTTCTTCAATTGGGAGCCTGTTGTCCATGCACTGATTAAAACATTCCCTAAGCATCCACTGTCATGAAGAATGCATTTGTGGCTTATAGAAAATATTTCCTCTTTTATTACAAAAAGAGACCTGCTATCAATCAATAGGCATCAAGAACTGAATCTTGCCTCAATGAGATGACACTGATGTTTGCATTACTCCTAAAAAGAAAGATGCCATATTTTTATGGTCAGCTGATAGTCAACATAAAAGTTAGTTAGAAATTCTGATACAGCTCTATTGAGATGCGTTTCTTTGTGCTGGAGGAAACGAATTGATTGTAATGCAAATATCGGAAATAAATTTCTAACTGATGAATTGACTTTGGACAATCACAACATATTCAAAGACATCCGCAAGACATTTAATGAGAAGATTTATCCAGCGGTCCATGGCAGAACATGGAAGAAGGATCCATTAAATAAATAGTCCGTACTGTCATTGCACTAAATACTTATTTATATAAATTAGTAGTAGAGATTTTGCCAAATATAAAATTTTCCCAAAGTTGTGTGCTGAGTTTTAAGAACCCACAGACTCCTCGCAGTTTAAGTTAGAATAAATGCTAGCGTGAGATGCATATTTTTTCCTCCTATTTTTAGTGCTGTTTGAGAAACTCTCTCCTGAAATATTTATATGAAGCTTCTGTAAAATTCTGAAACACTTAGATTTACCCTTTTTTTTACAGGTCCTCCGGGTATGAATTCTATGACTCCAAGAATGAACCCTCCAAGGGGTTCTGGGATGGGCCCCATGGGTCCCGGGTCGTATGGTCCTGGAATGAGAGGCCCCCCTCCTAACAGTAGTTTAGGTCCTGGGCCCGGTGGAGGTCCAGGAATGCCACCTATGCCCATGGCAGGCGGAAGGCCACAGTGGCAACCAAACACATCAACGGTAAGTCTCTCTGCTAGTAATTATTCCTCCTTGAAGGCACTGTATAGCCTCATCTATCTGGCATTTAGTAGCAAAGACCAGTGTTAGGTTTAGAAAATACTGCACACTTGAAAATACATGAGGAACATCTAAAGTGAGAGCAGAAGGAACTAAACAAAAAAAAGCTATGTTCGCTGTCAACAATCGACAGACAACCGAGTAATGTTTATTTTTAGTAAAACATGATTTACACCACACAAATTTTTAAAATTCATTCCCAAACAAGATATTTACGTTTTCACTTAGCATTAGTTTTGAAAAATTTGAATTTCCCACTCATATGAAAACCAAAGTTTAATTAAATCAAATCGCACGTTTCAATGGTTTTGGAAGGCTTAACGTAAGCTTCTGATGTTATTTGGCGCATTCACCTCTTTTGAGCTATGTGGGGTTATTCTTTGCACATCTGAGCAAGTGATAAAAAAATTCAAAAAGCATCTTGATCTCCTTTGCTTGAATATTCAGTCGTACTAACTGTTTGAAATATTTTAACCATACGTGACATAGTTTCTCCTTTTCAAAAATCTACTTAAGGTTTCTACAAGTTTAGAAAACAGGGAATTTCATCTGGTGAGAAAAATGAGGGAAAAGGTAGGGAATTTTTCCAAAAGACTGGAAGTTTGAAAAATCTTGAAACTTTAAAAATTTCACGTCAGCTCTCTCCACATAATTAAATCAGTCTTGTTGGAGGTTCAAGGTTATCTTTTACACTCTGAAAAGTAAATCGATGAATAATTTTCAGTATGGAAGTGCAATTTTATTTAATGGAATGATCAATACCTGAAGAGGAGAGGTTCACATGTTTCTGTCATTTGTATTGAAATCGATGCTATTTTCAGTTCTACGTGTGTAAATTGTCGATGTGAAAAGTCAGGGGTTTTTGATAATTTTGATCAAGGATAACCTTGAAAAGTCAGAAAAATTTTCTCCTGCAGAAAGAAAACACCTTATTCAAGGGAACCACCCTGAGAAATATATTGACTTGGAAAATAATAAAACCCTTCCTTCAACTCACAAAAGCACTAACGATTCTCCTTTCTTTTTCCAGCCGATGAACTACTCTTCCTCGTCACCTGGAAACTATGGCGTAAGTTAACAAATAAAGATCCAAGTCTTATTATGTTCCACTCTTGAATATTGTTCCTCACATAATGAGGGCGTAAGTCCGCAATCACATAACTTGTTTGCGGTGTCTGAAAATCTCTGCCTCCATGTTTTTTTTTAAAGGAGAACAAATCGACATCATTCCTTGAAGTTTTTGCAGAATTTTCTTTGCACAGAGTCGAAAAATTACGGCAGGTTTAAAGAATTGCCGTTGAACAGTTTTCCATTTAAAAAATAAAGTATGACAGGAAATCTGCATCGTCACAAACCGAGTTATGTGATTGCTGACTTACACCGTCGATAACTAGAAGTTCGACTGTAGGATACAAACATTTTATTTTTTTAGTTAAATTATGGGGAGAACTTTCAGAATTAAGCTACTCGCCCATTCTTCATGCAAATCTGCTCAAAAATAATAACCACTCTAACAAAATCTCTAACTCAACTTTAGAGTCTGAAAAAGTCAGCGATTGTATTTCCGTTGAGTCTTCAGACTCCCCGGTGTTCTGATTTTTAGGAAACCGCCAAAATTTATCAAAGTTCTAGTCTTCAATTGAATCAAAGCCAATCAATCATTTGTCGCATCTTAATTACAGAATACTTTGAAGAAGAAATGCTCTGTTCAATAGCACCATACTGAAGTAAAGCAAAATAAGGGGAAAATTGATACGTATTAGAATTGAAACAATTTGGCCACCTTTCGGCTACCCATGATCAGAGTGAAAATACAAAAAATTCTAACCCATTGATTTATTTATTAATTTGGCTCTAACATGCAAAAATCTGTAACTTAGAACAATTCAAAATAATCCTACAACTCATTCGCTGGAGTTAAAAATTGATAAATTCAAAGTATACTGTTCAAGGAACAGGAAATTTTTTTCGTTACAATGCTTTTATATTCTTAATTTATTGCCGTCTAATAACAAAAATCGTGAAATGGGCAAAAATCAGACAATTTTGAAGTCACTTCTTGTTAAACTTTATGCTAATATGAAAGTCCCGCAACAAAGTAATAAACCCCTGACCAAATAAGTTATTGGTTGGTCACATCTCTCATATAAACATTGACAAAAGTAGAATTTGCCAAGAAAATATCAAAATATTGTGCCATTGATGTCAAGTAGACTTGCAGTTCAGAGCTGTCGTTTCAAATGAATGGGTTAATGTTCTCTCAGTAGGTAGACCTCTTTTGCCTAGTAATATCCAGTTCTATTTAAAATATTAATGTGTTCAAACAGGGTGTCTAGCATCAGGATTTTCCCGATTCTATCAGGTCTTGAGGTCCATCAGGATTTAATCCTGATTTCATCAGAATTTGAGGAAAAATCGGTCGTAAAATCAGGATTTGAGAAAAGTCAGCCGTCTGATCAGATTTTTTTATCGAGCTATTTTTGTGAAGTTACATTCGCCTTAGAACTTAATTCTAGAATTTTGCCTTCGCATATGCTTATGCAGAAATTTTAATTTTTCGCCGTAAAAAATCAGGATTTGATCTGGATTTTGAAAAATTATGAAATCAGGATTTAGCAGTCAAAAAGCAGGAAAAATCAGGATTTCCCACAATGTAAAGAAACTAGACACCCTGTCAAAGCTCTATTTATCTAGTTCTATTTAAAATATCAAAGTGTTCAAAGTTCTATTTAATGTTTTAATCCAAGTGTTCTAATAATTCGAGGTTTTTCAGGGACCACCTGGACCCGCAGGGCCCCTACCACCTGGTAGTTCTATCGTTCCCAGTCCTCAAGGTACGCCACCCCTTTTTTCGAGTATTCACACTTGTATATTTTTTATATATGTCTGTAAGTTTTTCACAAATCTTGAAAGTCATCCGTTCATGACGTAGATATTGCGTTCCTACGTTAATTTTAATGTAAAGCTTATGACACCCGGAAGGTTCTCGCTGCTTGTATGCATTGTCCAGCTTCGTTCACAGAAATATGATCTTTTTACTCATCATGTGAACTCAGTGATGAGCTGCTTAGCCCTCGCTAATCGTTTTGTCCATATCTAATCCTGTATTTGATAGAGAAGTCTTTACAGTCGATGACTCAAATTTTTCATTTGCAATTTTTAACTAGTGAGCCGAAAGTATCTGCCGACCTTTAACTGGCCACCTGTCTAAAAATCCATTGGAACAAAGAAGCGATCGGCCTCTAGACAAGGTTTGAATTTAAGCGCTACGCAATATGTTTACCATCAACAGGAGGGATAGTGAAAAGGACTCTCTTTGGGCCCATTTTAGTTGAATTTCCTCAACTCTTTAATTATCTACTCATTGATGGTTTATATTTTACAGAATGCATCATGATATGGTCATTTTTGGTCTCTTCTCGGGTCTAACACTGGGTTAAACATAGGCCTGAAAACCAATTCTGGTGGAAAATGCAGTATTGTTTTTAAATGCCAAAACAGCCAAATTTTTCACAAAAATCAGCCTTCCGATCCATGTTTAGACCAGTATTACGTTTGGGAAGAGACTGGAAATAGCCAAATCATAATGGACTCTGTTTAAAATAGACCCTCAATGGGGATAAAACCAGGCAACCTGAAAATCTGATCCAAAAATGGCCCTTATCGATATTCCCCCTTTCTCAAGGAAAACAAATCACACCAGGGAAAGTCTGGGAAGCAACTCTTAAACAAGATGTGTTTACCATTAATATTTGTAAATTGGCTGACTGCAATTAATGTCATCAAAAGAGTCTAACCATTATGTGATCCGTGTCCAAAATACTTGTCACTATCTCGTTCAGAAGTTGATTTCTGAACTTCCTGTTGTGTAAATCCTTTTCTGCATGCTGAAGAGAAAACCAGTGAAGTTTTTCTCTTGTTCATACCTTGTCGAGTAGCCCATCGCAATGCACTATTTTTCCTCAAAGGAAGAAGACTTTGAAGTCAAACTTTAAAGAAAGATACATCAGATTGGTGCAATTTATTTTGGAACCAAGTAGCACTGAAAATTTTAATGCGAAGTTAGCTCACTGGGCTTATGCGACGATGAACCAAGAAATGGCAGTTTGCTCAGGTAGCTAATTCATGGCTCATTCTTGAACATTGCAACACCTCTATCACTGTCGTGCTATTTTTGCACAGTTCTATGATTCTTGCCGTGGCTGTACATATATAGATGTCTGAATGGTTTTTATTTTCAAGATGGACCGATAAATATTTCTTGAGTTGAGGAAATATTGAAGTGTATTTTGTATATATGTATATTTCACAAGATTCTGCTTTTATCATTTTAGCTCTCCATGTTTTCCATCGCCAATTTTGAAATGATGGTTTCAGTTAATAGATGATCATTGGGAGTATATTCTAACTTTACGAAAGTTGATTGTTGAGTAGAGATGGAAGGGAGTACAGCAAAAATCTGAATGCCACGGTTCAACTCAGGTTGTCTCTACATAAATCCAAAGAGAAAAATTGAGAAAGATCATTGAATTGGGCTGTTGTGCACAGATTTTAATGGGATATCTTCTCTCCTAGTGTTTCAAAGCTTATTGTAGATTGTAAAAGAGTCAACCCTAGTTATCCTTCAAATGAGCATCGGACATGATTCTAGAATTAAAGAAAGATCAGCAATACTGTAGTTGAACCGGGTGAGCACTGAACTCGAAAATTTAATGTAATCGATAGTTACTTATTAAATAATTAAAACTCTAGTGCTGTAGCAAAGGGTTAAAGTAACTTCGAGTTTTTTCCCACTGTAAGCTGCAATAAAATGTACAGAAAGTTATCTTATTGTCCTGAAAAGAAGGGGGAAAAAACAACTCAGCTTTTTAATCCGTCAGTTTGAATTAGCTTGAAACCCAAGATAGGACTGGAAGATCGATTTGTTAAATCGCGGAATCTGTTAAATTGCTATCTAATAAAACCAGGTGGCACTGTAAATTTGGATATGCTTTGTGGTAGAGTCAATTAAATGAGTTTGTCGAGTAGCTCAGAATAATGAAAAAATGATGGAAAAAAATACATTTAGATGGGATCCATCAGTTATCACCGTAGAGCTAGACTTCAGACTCCCTTTGAATGTTTTTTCTTCAATAGTAAAAACAAAAACTCCCCTCCATGGAGTTATAGTTTATTCTTAGAAGGAATAGTTAATCAGAATCGCAAATATTGTAGCAACCCTGTACAACACATGAAGGGCGTCAACTGCGATTTCCTGCACGCTGATCTCAACGTCCTAGTCCTACCGCACTGAACTCTTTCACAAAGCACTGATAAGTGACCTGTGTGTTTTGTTTCTAGGTTCTGTGGGACCCTACTCTCCCGCAAGCCACAGAATGCCCACCCCTAGTCCTGTCACAAGACAAGGTGATCTTTAGCTTTTTTTAGTTCCTTTTTTTATTCATTTTACTAACCCTGAAAATATGTAAATATCTTGGAAGATGTTTGTTTAAGTAATTGAAATGCATGAAATTTTATGCCTCACTCCAGCACTTCTTTTTGTTCACTAACATTCTGGCTGCTGTCATGATGTCCAAAGCATCTGATCAAGCTGTCTTCTCGGCTATTCTTTTTGCCGAGAATTCACGGAAAGCATGACGAAAGGCAAACATTTGTGACTTGTGACTGTTCAAGAGGGACGTGACGCGGGTACCAAGAAAGATAAACATGAAGATTCTAGCACCACTGTTTGATGTAGAATTGTGATATTTTTTTGACCCAACAAATGATGAAAAGTCTAAAGCAAACTGGATTCTTGATGGTTTGGTTCGGAAAATGTTGGATTAAATTACAACTTTTTGGCTTTTATCGCCCAGAAAATTGATTAAACTCTTTGCAACTTATTCCTTGGGATATTGCAGACTCCAAAAAGCGAGGACATGCAGAGTGCTTTTTGTCGAAAATTCAAACTCCAACCAAGGTCCCCTCTTGACAAAGATCGTTCTTAGTGATGATTGACCTGTGTCGCCTAAAAACTGTCTATGTCCACTCTTCCAGCTTTCAGTTTTTTTGTGTTAACAATACTTTTTAAATTGATTCAATTAATTATGAAAGTGATGCGAGGACTCCTTTTGGGCTTAAGATAACCGTTGAAAGAGTATTAACACCACTTTAATATTTGTATGTAACTCCAATAAGAATTGTTAACCCAAAAAAACTTGAGACTGCAAAAGTTGACTCTAACGATTTTCGCTGAACACAGTGCAATTTGTCTCTATGCAACTGAGAATCATTTTCTTTCGGACAGTCACTTGTATTCTTTATTTAGTAATTCTGCTGGCTGATAATTGAAATTGATAGACAAAGCAATTGATAAAGATGACAAACTAAAAATAATGCAATTCTATTGGTGGAAGCGGCTGGCTGCAATGGACAAAGGAGGTAAGTAATAGACTAAAGAACGGCAACCCACAAGACACCTGCAGTTAGTGTCTATCACAACCACCTGTTTCAACCTGTCTACTGTGTCCATAGCATTGGCCATCAATTTCAACAATCAGCGTACTGTCTTGATATTTAGTGTGAAAATGCATGATTCTTCTTCCATTCTGAATCACTCTTTTCCTAAGATTAAGAATATGTATTCCCTGAGGTAATGCATTCAATACTATCCGACGAAGTTTCTTAAAATCTCAAATTTGATGGCGGGGTTTCAAAATTTGTGTTCCATTTTATTTTTTGCGAAAAAATCGACTCATAGGACAGTGCATGGTCCCTCCCTCAGGAGAAAAACAGAGAGAAGAAAAAAGGAAAGAGAGGTATAGGAGCGTACTTTAAAATGTATTATAATTTTAAGACCAAACTGCGCTCTTGTCTCATTATTGTTTGCTAGTTTTTCCTAATACCTTACACCCCAGAAGCAAATAGTGTCATTATTGAAGAAAAATCACGGTGAATGAGGTAAAAATTAGTCAGTTTTGAACAGTTGAATGTTCTTTAAATATGAAGCTTAAAAAGCTAAAAATTTGATTTGGGATAGGGCAAATTCGCAAAATGTTTAGGGTGGCCTCCCTCCAGATAGGCTGCCACTCTGCATTGCCAAATGCCCATCAAGCTATCCTCGAATCAGCCATGATGATGAATTTCATCAAAAATTCAAAATGTCAGATTTTTGCTCTCCAGAGTCATCCCAGATATTTATTTTATTTTATGACATAATCCTATTTTTTCTAAATTAATATTTTCTTCATTTTTTGTGTTTTTGTTTGTAAATTGATTATCATTGTACATTCAGTAGGAATGTAAATTGTTTGATGAATGCACCTTCCTCAGTGTATATGGCTTTTAACGTTGCAACCACAAGCACAGTCTGGTGACCTGAGTGTCTGACAGGGCTGGCTTTAGCTCCCACATATTGGAACTTGTGCTGGGACCCGCAAGGAAATGCATGTGTGGATCTGGAAGTTGTGTAAAATAAAGCGCATTGAATTTGCTAATTCGATGTATTTCTGCCGAACGGAGCTATGTGCATTGAGACATGAGTCCTGAGACTCATAAGAATATATGCATAACAGGGCTCATGTTATATGTAATGCACTCAGTTTCGTTTGATAGAAATATGTCCAATTAACTTTTCAATTAAGACATTTTTCGACTCAGCCACCTGATGCCAGAGATGTAAACTCCTTTTTGTCTTATCCGCTCATCAACCCTTTGTAGATAGACCTCTTTTGCCTGAATGAATCCGTATTACCCTGTCAATGATGCCTTTAGATTTCAGTATATTTTTATCATAACTATTCACAAACCTTATAGATTTCTTTAAAATTCAATAAGAGTCAATTCATAATTTTGAGGAGGTGCAGAAGATTTCAGTAGACCAACCAAATGACTTGCGTTGAAAATATTTAATAGCTTCCGAAAAGTTGCCGATAATTCTCCCCATTTCTGACCATTTTTATTTTGTGTTTATTTTATAATTGTGGTCACATTTGGTAGATATGTTACTGCCTGACTTGTTTCATGTCAACATGTAATCGAAATCAATATTAACCATTAAATTACAAAACTATGTACCTTATCTGGATTGCTCTCAGCAGAATGAAACCGATGTGATAATATTGTTTCCAAAATCGCGCTTGACTTTCTCTTGATATTCTCATTAGCCAGTGGACTCTCTTTTTTTAAAATTTAAGTTCGATTTTTACTGAGTATGTCTCTCTTGTTCCAGACTCATCGAATTCAGGAGGCGAAAGTATGTACACTATGATGAAACCAGTTCCTGGAGGTAACATGCCTGGCGATTTCCCGATGGGCGGAGGTCCTGATGGTGGACCCCTAGGTCCAATGGGACCAAACACCATGGGTCCTGTTATGAATGGTGATGGTTTAGATGGAATGAAGAACTCTCCTGCCAATGGTGGACCTGGCACGCCGAGAGAGGACAGTGGAAGTGGCATGGGAGACTATAACTTAGGTGGATTTGGCGGGGGAGAAAATGTAAGTTAACTTTTTATGTAATCAGATAAGTTTTATCCTTGTGTTATATTTATTTTTCTATCAGTCCATGGGCTTTTTAATTATTTTCTTGCGGGCTTTTTAATTATTTTCTTGTACCATAATCACACGAGTATAAGCTGCACTCTCAGATAAATTTCAGGGCAAATTTGAGAGCCTCAACTAAGAAAAAAAGATCCTTGCAGATAAGTGGCAACTCCTATGCACACAAGGGTGGATGGCAGTGTTCGAAACTCACAGGCGCCAACGCGCCAAATGCGCCTAAAAAAGCGGTCATGGTGCCTAAAAAATGAAGGCCCTGCGCCAACGTGACCCCTAAAAATCTGATTTTTCGTATTAGGTGATTATTCGAAATTTTCAGCACCACAAGTGAAAGCTTTTTCTATTCTTCACAATTTCATCATTTGTGCTTTTGTCTTCCCCAAGTTACAGCTTCTTACTAGTTCTGTCATGAAAAAATCTTGCGTCTAACTTTTCACTAAATGTGCCATAATATGTACGCAAAAAGTCAATTTGGCCCCTAAAAAATCTCCAATGGCGCCTAAAAATTGGGCTTGATGTGCCTTATGGCTCCTAAAACTCAAAGGTGAGTTTCAAACACTAGTGGATGGGCACCGCACACATAGCTATTGCTCGCTTGAGCATTTGGAGACGTGTTAGGTCTGTCTAATTGGCTGTAGAGAGTAAAGGGGTGTATGCAAAATCGACAAAATTTCCCCCCTCATGGATGTTGACCAAATTTCAGTATGTCATTCCTCACTATGGGATACGCCTTTTCCCAAAATTTCAAGGCCTGAAACGAATTTCTCTCCGCGTAGCAGCGTTGCCAAGTTGAAAACCGTCGAGTTGCATATCTTTTGAACGAAAAGAGATATTGAGGTGCGGTTTGCGTTAAAATTCTCAAAAAATTGCGTTCTTTTGAAATATTTACTCAATTTGATCGTTTAGGTAATTTAAGATTGCAATGTTGCCATTTTTCATACTTTCTTAAGGGTCAATTTTTTTTCAACCCTAGTACATCGTCAAATGCCGGATTCTCGATTCGAAAAAAAAACTGTTCATTGTATTATTCGTACTTTTCCATTTCTTTTGATATATTATAGCTCCCAGGGAAACGATTAGTAACGGAGATATGAGCAATCAGAGTTTACGCTCCGCGCGCGCCGACTGGAATCCGGGCGCCGCTCGCCGCTCGGAGTCGTTTGCACACTCCCTCCCTTAAGCTTTACAAGGTTATTCCAACGTATTTTTTTGCGAACTTTTCATTTCTGGCCTTTAAAAAGGCCTCCGATGAATTTTTCGGGGCCTCGCGGTCCATTGTTGCCATTTTTGGCTCGTATTTAGGGTTTTTTTCCAATTTTACTCTCAATTCTACTGTAAAACCTAATGTGAACTGAAAAGTGTGCGAAGTGAGGGAAAGAACGTAAAAAAGAATAAACATTCATTTATAACTTTTTCCTCCGTTGCCAAATTTTCGAGAAAAATCGCACCAAAGAGCCAAATATTGGAAAAATTGGATAAATCGCCACGCCATTGTTTAAGAAAGTGGGGCGCAACTGTAATATTGCCGTACGTAACAGATCTTACCCATCTATACCACATATACAAAAGCATAGTTGTATCTGGATTCCGAAGATGTGAAAATTGTCCATGATGTCACCTTTTGCAGCCTTTTCTTATGTGTAAGACGGATCTTTTGAATGTTTTTCGACCTTTAGTCATCCTCCGTAGGAATGTATCGTTTGTATTTTTGCTTTGCTTTTCTTTTTGGCAGTATAAATTGCTTGTAATGAATTTTACGGGGCCTTACGATCCATTGTTGCCATTTCTGCCAATTTTAAGAGTTTTTTTTTTCAATTTTAGACGTGTCAGACTTAATCCAAAACCGTGTACAACGTGCACTCACATTTTATGAAAGAACGTAAGAAAGTACATCATTCCAACGTTCTTTGTAACTTTTCCTTACGTTGCCAAATTTCCTTCAAGGTTTTAGCAAATGAATAATGACTTTCATGCAGAATTTTGGGACACTCTGATAATGGGTAAGCGGCCTGTAGCATTAAGTCATGATTATAATTATAGTATAAAGTCAAGGTCATAATTCACTTCCAAGAGACTTCTACGTCATAATAAATCCAATTTGTGTCACTTCAGGACGATTTTTCTTGAAAATTTGGCAACGTAAGAACAAATCACCGAGAACGTTATTCGTGTACTTTTTTACGTTTTTTTCAAAAATGAAAAGTGCAGCAAAAATACAAACGATACATTCCTACGGAGGATGACTAAAGGTTGAAAAACATTCAAAAGATTCCATCTTACATATAAGAAAAGGCCGCAAAAGACGTCATCCCGGACAATTTTCACATCTTCGGAATCCAGATGCAACTGTTCTTTTTTAATATGTTGGAACAAAAGAGACTTGTAAAAGCAGCCCGAAACGGAAACGACGATCGAAAACATAGGTAAATGCGGAAACAAGGCTAAAATACAAAATACAGAGGCAGCTGGACGTTTCTGTCATCCCTGCAGTCTCATTTCAATACCAATCCCACCATGTAACGCAGTTTGTTGGTTTTTATTTTAATTTATTTTTTATTTTTAATTCTATTTTAGCAGTTGATAATGGTGCCGTAAGGTACCAAAACGTCCTACCTTTGTATTTAAATATGTTGTATAGATGGGTAAGATCTGTTACGTACGGCAATATTACAGTTGCGCCCCACTTTCTTAAACAATGGCGTGGCGATTTATCCAATTTTTCCAATATTTGGCTCTTTGGTGCGATTTTTCTCGAAAATTTGGCAACGGAGGAAAAAGTTATAAATGAATGTTTATTCTTTTTTACGTTCTTTCCCTCACTTCGCACACTTTTCAGTTCACATTAGGTTTTACAGTAGAATTGAGAGTAAAATTGGAAAAAAACCCTAAATACGAGCCAAAAATGGCAACAATGGACCGCGAGGCCCCGAAAAATTCATCGGAGGCCTTTTTAAAGGCCAGAAATGAAAAGTTCGCAAAAAAATACGTTGGAATAACCTTGTAAAGCTTAAGGGAGGGAGTGTGCAAACGACTCCGAGCGGCGAGCGGCGCCCGGATTCCAGTCGGCGCGCGCGGAGCGTAAACTCTGATTGCTCATATCTCCGTTACTAATCGTTTCCCTGGGAGCTATAATATATCAAAAGAAATGGAAAAGTACGAATAATACAATGAACAGTTTTTTTTTCGAATCGAGAATCCGGCATTTGACGATGTACTAGGGTTGAAAAAAAATTGACCCTTAAGAAAGTATGAAAAATGGCAACATTGCAATCTTAAATTACCTAAACGATCAAATTGAGTAAATATTTCAAAAGAACGCAATTTTTTGAGAATTTTAACGCAAACCGCACCTCAATATCTCTTTTCGTTCAAAAGATATGCAACTCGACGGTTTTCAACTTGGCAACGCTGCTACGCGGAGAGAAATTCGTTTCAGGCCTTGAAATTTTGGGAAAAGGCGTATCCCATAGTGAGGAATGACATACTGAAATTTGGTCAACATCCATGAGGGGGGAAATTTTGTCGATTTTGCATACACCCCTTTATTTGTTCTGCATAGCTCCAATGTTGGGACTCGTGATCAATGTATATTTTAATTTTTTAAAAGAAAATTACAACACTAGCAATTGGAAACCTCGGCAAACTAAGGAAATTTAAAGGGACATGGAAATATCTCGGAAAACCCAGGGAATTTGAGGCAGACTCAGGGAATCAAGCAAGAAATCCTTTCCTCAACAGTTCACGATTGTAATTAGTATGAGACGGAGAATAAAATGAATCAACTAGAATGTATTCTAATAAATCAGGCAATAGTACGTAATGTTGCCAGCCTCTTACCAATTGGATTAACGGATTAAAAAAGATTGCGCTTTATATCGGGCCCGAATCAAACACAATTCTTCGAAACCCTAACGCGAAACTAACCTCAAATCTGTCTTTATGGTAACTTTACTGTGAGTTTTCTTTTCTCTTTGGGAAAAAATCATGGAAAATCCAAGGAATTTGAATATTGTGCAACAACATCAACCCTGCATCAATTCCACGAGATTCCAAGTTTATCCTTTCAAATTAAGCTCAATTTTTTACATTCTCCTTAAAACACATTAATGGTTGCTTTTTTTCAGGACCAAACGGAGTCAGCGGCCATTTTGAAAATAAAAGAAAGTATGCAGGAAGAAGCAAGGAAATTCGAAAAAGACACGGACCATCCAGAATACTTCATGCCTCACTGAATTTCCTATTAGATCATGTGAAGTTTCCACATTGTCAATCCTGTAAAATCTTACTTTAGTTTGTGCAGTATTAAAATCGGTCGGAAAGGCTCGGCCGGTAGATTAATTGTAAATTGTCTTTATTTTGTTCCAATCAACACTTTTTCCTCCTCTTTTAAGGATGAATGTTCAAATTTATTTATTTTTACCTGTCCCTGTATATACTCCGTTCAATCAGCTCTATTTGTATATTTCTTGATTTTTATGTATTTTATTTATGTTTTATCATCTTGCGAACCAATTCAGTTTTTATTTTTTATCATTTTATAATTTTTGACGATAGGTTTTTATGGATTTTGTATTGATATATAAACACAATTTGTGGAATCTTTCAGTTAAACCGTCTCAAGGTTCTCTTGTTCTTCTGTTCCTTTAGTTTTTGTCTCGAAGACAAAGTCGATTGTTTTCCTAAATAAATTCTCTAATTCAGTTTTCCTGTGCCGCTCACCAAAGCTGATGAAACATCATAAGTGAATTTTCTAATTTTTACCATCATGTATCAGAGACTATGACCATGCTATCACTATAGATAATTATTCGCAGAGTAAGAAGTGATCAGTTCTTCACTCCGCTTTATTTGAAGTCAAAATCATTGTTAATTTTTGATTCCGTGATCAATTTTACTCACAGTAGAGTGAGGTTCTGTGCTTGAGGGCGAAATTACCTTTCAATGTAACTTTGTACCAAAGGAACACTTGAGAAGCAATGATTGTTGTGACTTATTGGATTTTTATGGCTCTAGAAACTTTTTTCTCATCTCTCCCAGTCAGGTCCTGACTAGTTAAATCTGTCTTTTTAGCTGTGTAGACCATTTAGTTATTATTTTCTCAGTGTTAGAAGTTAGTGAAACTATACCGAGAGAAGCCTCTTGTTGAATGAACTGCAATAACTCATCCTTAGAGATTTTTTGACCCTCCTAGCCTTAAGAATCCCTATAAGTTCCTACTGTGAATGAACGAGGCTTTAAAAATGAAGGTGAAGAAAATAGAAAATCTTTATTTTCGTATTTGAAAAATAAGGCTAAGTACTTTGATTCTTTAGGAAAGTGTGTTACGTCCAGTCATAAATAATGGCTTTTCATGAACGGCCCTTAACCTCTCTGTGACCCTATGATTTGAGAAGAATTTTTTCCTAAGCTGTTGAGTTAACCTTCGTTTCTTCGTCAGTTTGACCTGCAAAAATTCTACATGATCTGTATTATATTTTTATTTTTGCAAGGGAACTCATAGTGCTTCCTTTTCCCTCATGGTATCTGTTCCCATTTATTTCTTAAGGTTCCCTCATGAAAATCACATTGTAAAACTTGTTTGCGCATTTTGAAGAGGTGCTTTTATAGAAACCTCGTTGCACTTTATTATTTGACTTTGAGGTTTTTGCGAAGATTATTTTGTAAATCTTCAACAAATTTGTTTTTATAGAATCAATTATACCAAGGATTACTGACTGGGAAGAAACAAAAAATAAATATTGTCAATACTTTACTCAGAAAATTAAGCAGAGAAGTCAATTTTGGTGGAAGCTTGCATTTTGTTTTCGCTTTTTTTGAGGTTGTGAAATTACAAGGTGTAATTATCCTCTTGAAAACCATGACTTTTAAGTGTCAAATCGTGCTAAAAAATCAGGGCTTTATTTTCCATGTTGGCATTTTCTGGTGCTACTACGTGAACAAAACTCCAGCCTTTTTTCCTCCACAAAAGATGGCATTTGGAATGTGTAGATTACGAGACTGATCAACCAGAATGTAGCTTTTATTCTACCCTGAGATATTGTTACTGCAAACATTATTATTGATGGGATGGTCACAGTCAGCCAATACCAGAAAACGTCAGAGAATTTTCATGAGTCAGAGAAAACCTGGAAATGTCATGGAAAATGACGCAACTGTCAGGAGAAAATTGTCACGGTACCTCTATTTGCTTTCTAGAATGAGTTTAACGTTTCGAACAAGAAAATTTGCCTCAGAATTGTTTCAAATCATGTCTTTTTAGCCATCTGGCATATCTTCAATTGTCAGGGATTTTTACCAAAATGTGTCAGGGAAATCTGGGAATTTCATTGTCTGAATTCTGCGGCAACTCTGACATGAAATAAAATGAAAAATAAATAATCAAAAAATCTGGAATTAATTTTCAGCAGTATTGCTTTTTAGGTAGCAGTACCGTTAACAATTGAGGCATTGGGTGTAGAGAGGGCACTTCTCAGCTGCGGTGCTCTAGAATCTCCTCTGTTAATTTATGTTTGAGAGAAGCAACTAAGTATTGGATGAATTCTCTATACTTTCCGATTATAGCATCATAAAAAAATCTGCACTATAAGCTCCAAGACCTCCTAAATATAGAATGTCCAATCCAAGTTAAAAAAAATTATATTTTGCTTTGATCCTAGCGATGAAAACACTAGCAGAATTCTGAGACTACAACTGAAAACTGCCCTTTCTGCACGGTTGTTCCAATTTTTCCATCATTTTGTCAAGATGCGTAATTGTCAATGGCATATCGATGATGAAACTGCAGAAATACATATCTCTATTTACAATCTTGTAGACTTCGTGTCATACTATATTCCCTACACGGAAGACTACGAAACACAAATTCTTGAAAACCTCGGGCGGCTTTTCCTCTATATGTGAAGAATATTCTGAAAAAATTTCAAGTCACAATGTTGATTCCGTTTTCTTTTAAAAAATGAAATGGAAGCGGTGACTTTGAAACACAGAACAAGAGATATGAATTTTTACCTTTTCATCGTTTATATGTCTCTTACCTAATGAGTGTAAAGTAGCACACATTGATCATGTTTGTCAGTCAATATTAAAATTTATTTGCATTGATGTTCAGATTTTCAAATTTTTCATTCTCTGTGGCGCAAACCACCATTTAATAAGGTAAATTCCATAAAATGATTATAAAAGAACACATTTTTTATGCCATGGATTTATTAAATCTGTAGTTTTGACTAAATGACTCCAAAGTATTTCTTGTTCACGTACACTTCACAACAATTTTCCTGTCATTCCCTTTTCACGTTTTTCTGTGAGAAATGAAAGTTTTGTCTGTCTGCCATCATTGCAAGCGCAAAATTTGCCAGATAGATTTTATTAAATGATTTTCTGTCGCTGAATGCAAACTGGAAAGGAATCATCCTTTTCAATTTTGCATTGTAACGAAGCATCACTAGCTGCATTTACACATTACAAGACCATGTATCTTCGAACCCCAACATAGGCAGAATCATTTTGCGCAAATGCATCTGATTTTTTTTTCTGGCAAATCATTGTTCAAATCAGTTTTTTAATCCTCATTATTTTGAGTAATTAATTAATTAAGCTTGGTTTATTGATTGGGGCACTATCACTTGTATATCAGTTTTGTAGGCCCCACCTTTCTATTTCCGTCTCTAGACTCTAATTTTAATTGGTATCCTCTTGTTGAATGTACCCTAAGTATTTTGCTCGTCTTTTTTACCACCCTCTTCTCCCCTCTCTGGAATACATTTAAGAGCTCAAAAGAGGCTGGCTGAATTTTTTTTCTGTGCCTCTCATCATTTTACGCAGTAAAAGTAAGCACAGGAATTTCGATAGGAGAAACAAGACTCCGAAGTTCTGAAATTATTGCAAAGTATCATTTGAAAATAAAACTTTTATTCTTTAGTTCATAATTCTAGCTCATAATTCTGTCCCTTGTTTCATAATAATATTTTAAACACGCTTTTCAATGCGATGAGGATACAAGAATAGAAGCTCACTCAGCCGGCCATTAAACTTGTCTCTTATCGTAACACAGTTTCCTTCATTTGTCTCTCCTTTTTCTTTAACTATGCAAGGCTGTCTCTGTACATACTGGGAAAACTTCAGAATGGTGGTGAATGAATCTTTAATTTTAAAAAGCAAAAGTAGAGATACTTAATCGAAATCGTGGCAGATTGTTTTTAGTTGTATTTTGTACAAGTTTGTAAATATTTCATAGATTTATCTAGTTATAATTACGAATAGACAAATGAAGCGAATCCTCAGTCCCGGAAGATTACCATGTCAGGAAATAAAGAGTATTGACTAGCCAGTTCAGATGTATGTTATTTCTCATTCGCAATGCGAGTAACATATTTCAAAAATTGAGAATATGTGATATTTAAATAAATTGAAAATATTGTGACCTTTGAATAAATGTAATTAAAAATATTTTTAATCTCACTCCTATAGTGTACTTCTTTGTTGTCCTCAACTCGCCAAATTTTTTCGCTGTGAAGAAATTCGATGCTATTGCTGGCTGCAGTCATGAAGCTGATCAAGGTTATCATGATCACATCCTCTTAAGTTAGGAGTCAATTTTATATTTTAATGAATGAGTGAGACGATTAGAAACTGAAATATGACTGTTTGTTGGAACAGGGGCCTCAATGCATGGAGGAATCATTTTCTAGCTTGATGGAAAAACCAGAATTCGATTGATTCAGAGAAAACTCACGGTAGGATCTCAGAGAGTAAGTTGCGAGTGGTCTTATTTGTTTTCGTGCCAATAGCAAACCTAAAGTTGCATTTTTTTAAAAAAATTGGGAGTTTTCATCAAAATTCTTTCTCTCAATACTGCAGTTTCTAAACTGTTTCAACCTCTCAAAGCTCTAGTTTTATTTGACTTTCAAGCCTTTTTCGTTCGGAAGTTTGTGTTTAACACTTCTGTGTTAACACAACAAGCTGTGGAACCAATTTTTTTAATTTAAAGTTTTTCAGCAATGAGGTTCCTCTTCCTGTAGACGCTTACGAATGTGAATTAATTACAGTAATGCTCCGGTTATTCAATGCTTCGGCCATCTCACATAGTTTTAAATGAGGTTTTGGTCGAAAACAAGCCAGCTCTCAAGTCGAAAACCGGTTTTTTTGAGCAAGAATTTAATGTATATGTGGTTTTTTTTGTAATTTTTCTCAAATTAAATGAGAATGTTTCATCATTAGGATAGAAAATTGGCCAGTCTTGTGTTTTTTGGTCTTAAAGAGAGCCTGAGATGGCATTGTTACAGTCTTTTTTTGGTTTGGATCATCTGACTTTTTTGATATCCGTTGTGACCCTGGCCACAAATCATTGTATAATCGGAGCATCACTGTATTTGAATTTTGTGTTCCTGTTGTCACAAATTAGTTTGTAGAGTTAAAATGCAGTTTTCGGTGCAAATTTTAAAGTATTCAAAAGAGTGACGGAGTTATATTTTTGTTGATTTCTCAGTCTTTGAACCTAGCAAAACACTGAGGTGAGATCACTAGTTGTCGGCTCCTGAAACGTTTGTTATTGTAATTTGTTGGTTTTCTGGAACAGACAACTTCTGCTCTCTCTCGTTTGCCTGTACTCCTATTCGTGTATGATCACCAACTTTGACTTTAGAAATAGTGTAAATAACTAGGTTCCAATGGAAAATTGATATAACTTTTTTTGTAAATAGATTCTTTAATTTTAAAAGTTACAACCGGGGATTTTCCAAGAAAAAAGAAAGCCTGGTACTTGTAGTATGGACAGTCTGTCACCTTGAGGAAAAAAAAACACCTTAAAAATTACGCAGAAAGTCATCGGTAACTGTCAATATTGTAGACTCAAACTGATGTGCTCTGTCCGTTTTATTTCATGGCTTATTGTGATAAGGACTTCAAAAGTCTCCACAGTTATGGCAAGTACATCAGGTTTTGCCATTTCCCTGTCGAAAGAACGTAACTCCTTTTTGAGGTTGCCAGTTTGCATCTTTACTTTAAAACTATTGAACACTTTTAACTGAAAATGACACAAATTTTTCATGGATTTCATGGAAATCAGCAGATTTTTGAGCAGCAACCGTTTTGTCATTTTCCGTGAGAAAAAGAAACTTGTATGCAGATATTGCAACCTTGGAATGGAGATACGTTCCTCCATGTGAGAAATGGCAGTTGGTGAGAATTTATCGCTGTATTTTTGAATCTGTGGTTCCTGGAGAAATTTTGCCTCTGAGAGTACAGTACGGTTTAAATGAGGTCAGAAACATTCTGTAATCAAGATGGCGAATATTGGAAACCACGTAACTCGCCTGGCAATGCTACTGAATTTCCGTCATACTCACTCCTCCAATCTGGATTCTAATGGACTTAATGCTGAAAATTTCCGTGCATTTTCTTCTCCATTCAATAAATATCTGAGAATAAGTCCCCCGAAAAATGAAAAAAGTAGAGGCAGAAATCTGTTAATCAAGGTTTGTAGTTTCCAAAAGTAGCCGTCAGTACCTGTCGTCGGTTCAGCTACTGTCCATTCTAAAATTTTCTGAGAATGGTGAAAATCCGTGTTAGTTGTGGCCACTAATTTTTTGAGGTTCTTTTTTCAACCTGGAATCTGAACTGAATTGAGTCGGAAGGAACCGAGTAACGTTTTGGAAGAAAATGAATCAGGTGCAGTTTTGAGTTTAGCTAGTTTAAAATAGGTATAAAGTTGAAAGAAATTATTTTGAATGCCAAAATGTGACGGGATTTGTAAAAAGAGACCTTATCTTTGGGAAGAGAATTTTCCTCAACTTTTTGTAAATGCATGAAGGATGAAAATCCAGAAATTTTAGCGCAAGTTGAACCCTAAAATCTCAAAAATGAAGGAGCTAGTAGTTCTGAAGTTTCAAGACAAAAATTCGTAGGTCTTAGAAGAGAGTAGCTCAAGAGTTTGCAAAAGTGAAGGAAAATTTTCTTTTGGAAGATAAGGTCCCTTCTAGATCTGGTCACAAACAAGCATTGAACCTGAGTCTCAAAGAAGAATAAATAACTTGTGGAACCTCTTTTTCTGCGCGCAATCTTGCTGTGGCCTGGTTTCTATCTGTCAAAATCGGCTTATTCAATGTCAGACCTGATGATTGCACTCAAAATGCAAAACATCCAAGAACTCAAGTTGTTCTTCAATTAAAGTATGAATGTAACTTTGAAAACTGCAGTTCCTCGCAATGAGGAATTATAACTGTATATTTCAGAAGCCTTAAGCCATTAAAACAATTGGACTGTGGTCTGTGTAGAAATCTCGATCGTTGTTCTTTGTCCCTTCTCACTCTTGGATCAGCTTTCGGAGCAAGAATTTCTCAGAGGCAAAATCATCCGAGGAACAGGTTTCAATTCACTGATTCGTTTTGTTATCTAGAATATCCTCTGACATTACTTTAAACTCAGTCGCTCAATCTGTTCTTTATAGTTGTGAATATTTCCTGGCAAATGAGTGAAATGTTCGCCTGATTACTTTTCAATGTGCGAATATAGAGCTAGGTTATTACTTGGGGCCAAATTTTATCATAATCAAATACTTTTTTATTGTACTTTCAAAATCTTAACGAGCTGTTTCAGATTGGTTTTAATAATTCATCTCATCTCTTTGCCATTTTCTTTTTTTCTTGAGTCAGCGTTAATTCTTCATTTCAAATTTCTGAGCTTTAAATTCTGTTCTCACAAATTCACGTTCCAAAAATGTGGGTCTTTTACATTCTCTGATGTAATCTCTCCAAGAACAAACATCCTCAATGAAATATGTTATTCCTTTTTTTCGTTAGCTTCAATCACTGGAGAGATTAGTTCCTGCGCCTCATTAAATAACCGCTGAATCTTTCTATAATTCAGTCTATGAATTGAGTAATTTTCAAGGAAATCAGCACACAGCTAGATTTTTGGTGCAACTATTCGCCTTTATGACTTTCGCATTGCAGCAATGAATTTTTAACTTGAATGAAGGCACATGCGTTTGCTAGAAACTATTAGTTGTATGAATGAACAATGTGACTGCAGGGTGCGAATGCAATGCTGAAACAATCTGTTTTCCCTTTCACAGCCTTTCATTTATGATTTCCCTGAAATCTAGTACTATGAAGTTCTCTTTGTAAGTAATAGTTATAATTCAGTACTAAGTACACGCACTCTCAGGACTTAATGAGTCCCTGATTACTTGTCCTACATTTAAAAGAATCTTTAGCGATTGGAAATGTTCATTTAGTGAAAATTTGTTCTTTTTCTTTGCAGGCTATGTTTGCAGTTTTCATTATTCAGTTTAAAAGTATTGTCAGACTTGTAAATGTTTTGTATTTCTATGAAAAATTAAAACATCATTTTGTTTATTACTCATGGCTTGTTTTTCTTTCATCAAGAGAATATTTTATAAGAGTTTCAAGTAGATGAAAATTCTTTGAGTCTATTTATGAATTTATTGAGAACATTCACAAATTGCAAATTACAGAAAAATAACTCTTAAATTTGAAAAGAACGTTACAGCCTTTTCAAGATTTTTTTTTTTTTTTATCCCACGTTCAATGTCTCCAATCCTTCTTGCATAAGTGTGGTCTCAATGTGCATCATTTCTAAAATACTGATTATTTTTTTTTATTGGAAGGATGAAAAATTGTCAAAAAAATACAGTTTTCCTGGTTTCCTGACTTTTATCATATGGCTTTTATCCTGCCTTTTATCCCCTGGCTTTCCTGAACTTTTAGCAGCATGGCCTCTTTTAAGAATTGACAGAATTAATAAACTGACCTAGTAAATTAAAACAATTAGAAACATGTATTTGAATAGCATTACAAAAATTAAGCAGTATGCAGGAAAAAGAGAGGATGAATGGAAGTAAAATCATATATTCTTGAAAGAATGTGTAATATTGAAGAATCGAAGTATTTTCATGCAAGATCGGGATCAAAAATAACATCAAATTAAGTCTCAGATGTCATATTTTACGATTTTCCAAGGGAGCCTCGGAAAGGCATGTGAATCTCTGCGATGATACATGGAAATTTTGAATCTATAATCAAATCCACCCCCTCAGACAGGTACTAAAAGAGAAAATCTGAAAACAAGTTCTCAATTTGCAAAGTTGCTTTCTCGTCACTTCGTCAGATTTTACTTACTCAATGAGAGAATATTGGACATTCGTTCTTTCCGAGAAAGAAATAATTTCACAGTGATTATTCATAGTTTCAACCGTTCTCCCAATGTAATGAAATTGCGATTTTTCAATCAGTAAACTGCAATATTCTCACGTATGTACATCATTTTGAACTCATTTTGCAATTGGGAACTATAATTTCTGACTCAATTTAGAAACAGCACATGTGCCATATGTTTCCCTAAACAGGTAGGTGCTTTTATGGATGAGCCTGAAATTTTAGTTTCCAATCGCAAAACGTGGTCCATTTGCTCAATAAGTAAATGCCGATTTCAAATGATCAGCAAAATGAGTTCCATGTGTTAGGAAACTAGTCAATTTGCGATGCAATGAGAATTGAGGGGCCTGTAGGACAAGGCGCATGAGTGCAGTTTTCGCTCCTTCCAGAAATACATGTCGGAAGTTCCAAAATCACATGAATCCTTATGGAGGAAGAAAGTTCAAGCAAACTGACTTTTTGATACTTGAAAATTGGAATTTGGGAGCGAATTTTTCACTCAATACGCATCAAGACTAGTTTTACTTGAAATCATCAATATCTCAATTTTTTCAAAAACTGAACTTATGTGCCTTGTCCTGTAAGCCCTTCAATTGGACTACATTTTGCAATTCGGAACTACAATTTCTGGCTCAGTTTAGAAACAACGTAAGTACCATTAATTTCCCTACGCACTTAAGTGTTTTCACGGATGGGCCAGAGATTATACTGCCATGCTATGCAAGAACGCTGTTAATCCATCACGATTTTCCCTCTTTTATTGGAACTAAAAACTTTTTAAAATATAATCTGTTACCCATGCACCTCAAATTTTCCGGTTAATTTTTTGATAGTATCTGCAAAAGAATTCGGTAAAAATATTGTCCCAAGGTACACGAGTTTTTCTGCTATGATACGTTGTTTCCAAAAAATTTAAAATGGCGTTTACGGCGTTTTTGCGTTGCACGGCAGTATTGTGCCTCATCGCTAAATGTAATCCATCCAATTGGAACTTATTTCAATTTTATTGGATTCATCTCATCTCCAAATACGAGAGGCGCCCCTTCAATCAGTCGATACGCAACATACACGACACTCTGATGCCGCTGCAATAATTTTACCATGTAATAATCGCAATCGATTGCAATCTGTGCCTCTTGGGGACTAATCTGTGCTCTTGGGCTTTGCACTCATCCCTCCAATGGGGGGGGGGGGGGGGGGGGGGGGGATGGGGGATTCCAAACACCACCCCCCTCCCCCCAAGTTCCGCCAATAACATGAACGTATCAAATTTTAAAGATCGCGGATTTTCCGGGCCGAGTTCCGGCCGTCGGTTCCGGCGCATCGACGAGAGAAAAAGCGGAGCTTTCTCGCGGAGCTAGCTCGGAGCCACCCGGAGCCGGACGACCCGCGGATTAGCTCCGAGACAGGAGCCGCGTCCGGTTTTAATTCAGCTGAACAGAGAACCTCAGTATCAGGATAGCAGAAGAAGCCCGCAGATTCGAATTCCGACGAGAAACCGCGCTGGAAAAGAGCGGGAGCGCTCGGTTCCGCCGGACGCCGCTAGAGCGCAGCACCGTCACCAAAACATATGACTATCCGTCGAACTTTTTATCAGCTGAGCACTGAGCAGTTGGTGTAGAAGTGTGTCCCGGAGCTTTTGATCCTGTGAGCGAATGAGGTTAAATGTGCGAAACTCGGATTGGATTTTTCCGTCTCGGTGTGGTTTGATTTTCGTTTTCGTCGCAATGTGTTTGAATCCGCGGGAGTGTCGTGAGTTGCCTTCAGTTCTGTGATTTTGCGTTTCTGTTTCGAGGACAAGAAAATCTCCGGAGTCACGATGACCAAATTAACGGAGGAGATGGTTTTTGCCAGGACTCGCCAGTCCTCCTTGGATGCGATCGTGAAATTCAATTGCTGGTTTGTATTTGAGCTTTTCCATTTTCCACACGTTACGATGAAAAATCTAAAAATCTATCTCGACTTCCTTTCGAGTGGACTCGGAAGAAAGTGGCTTAAAGTTGAAGCGACAGTCGAATGAATCCAGGCTTTGCACTGTTCTACTTGTCACTGCCACTGTCTGAGCTAATTTAGAATATCCTCATTCAGTAAATATTCTCTTCACTCCGAAGGTTTCAAACAAATTAGCACATAATTGATTTGTCATGGCATTACTATGTTGCTCTCCTAAAAACATCTATATTAATCTTATCTTTCCGTCAGTAGGATCGTACAACCACGCAATACTAGCTGGTGGTGTATTTTGTTAAAAGCCTTGCTTTTTATCTTCACAGAAAGTATGGTCATAATTTGTGATTGGTATCATGCGCCAAGTGTAATGAGATCCCTGATTCATTACGTAATTTTTAGGTAGTTAAAAAAGCTGAAGTTTTTCTCGGCAATGGATATTATGTTCAGTAAAACTTCGTCCAAGTAATTGATAAGACTTAGATTTGAATTACACATGCATTATTTTCTGTGGATAATATGTACCTGATAGCAGATGCAATGGAAGTCATGCAATGGCTTCCTCTTAATAGGACTGTGTACTTAGATGTGACAGTGGTAAATTATTTGTGGCAGTTACAGGCAGTCAATCAAAGCATGTCTTGAGTACTGTCGTGCTGAGGAAAAACGCTGTATGAACATTCCAGAGTTGCTAAATATCCTCTCATGAAATTTTTTTTTTTATAGAGAGATATGAATATTTCCTCCTGAGTTTTTCAGATAGCGCGGATTTGGTCACACTCAAAATTGTTGGAAAAATTCAAAGAAAAATACTTATTCCAAACTTTCCTTGTAAATTCATATTTTATCAAGGGAAATTCTGTAATGTCTGAAGGTTCCCACAGCGTTCTTCTTCAGCATAGCAGAGTAGTACACTGCTATGCCAAGGAAAAACACTGTATGAACATTCAGATGCTGCAAAATTTCCTCTCAGGGAAGTACCTATTTTTAAAGTAAGTTCTGAATATTTTCAGTCTCCAATTTTCCATCAATAGTCATATTTCTTATTACATAATTAGTAAGTATATTCAGCTGTCTCTTCTTGAATTAAGTATTAAGCATCTTTTGAATGAAAGTTGTTCTCTTATTTCTTGCTGAAATATGTTTACATCTCATAGGATGTACCAACCTGTAAAATCTCTGTGAAGAAAGAAAATTGGTCTTTCAATAATCCATTGATTATTTTTGTATTTTTCAGGGGAGCCGATCTCTCAGATGTCAGCGTGTGTAGAAAATTCAGAAACTGTCAAGTTTTGTCACTGAGGTAAGAAATGTTTATCTTGCTTTTTTCCTTTGAAATTTTACTGACATTCTCTGCACTGAAAAAAATAGTACAGGACTCCGGCACTTTCTTTGTTACAGCTACAGAAGTTTTCATTATGAATACAGAATACTCTATACTCCCTACCGGAGTTCTGTTCTCACAACAGAAAATTTCTTAAAGTATAACAGAGAAGGTGCAGGAGCCCTATAAATGGAAGGTTCTGTCATCAGCACCGACTATTTTTTTGCGATTGACATCTCATGAAGTGAACTTCGATGAATTTCATTCAACTAGAATGTGAGTGATTTCTATCACTTCAGACAGAGAAAGTGAGAACTTTGGTTCTAGGCACTACCCGTCAGTATCCCTATGGAAGCTTAATAACATGCACCAAAAATAAGTTCAAATCATCGATATCATTGTCATCAATCAGTTTTTTACTTCTATTTTTGCCGTTTTTTCTCCCTCCGAACAGGGCGGTTTTCGGACCAAATAATTCAATTTTTCTCAATGCTCACGGATGTCATTTCTTGCAAATTATAGGCGGCGAATAGTTAAGAGGAAGTAGTTTTCCCCCGTGTGGATGGGGGCAGAGGCTCAAAAAGTGCAGATTGGCTGAGCGTTGCATGCGATCCGAGGGTTTATCCTTGCTCACTTTTGAAAGATTTCCTCACCTTCCCAAACTTTTCAAGGTGTAGAAACCTTTTTTTAGTTTCGTTCTTTTTTCTCGTGTGTGTTTCCTCACGTTTCACGTGACCACCAAGCTACATTCGCAATTGCCAAATGTATCTAACCAATTCAATTTTTTGTGTGAGAATGTTTGTGTGGATTTTTTTTGAAAATTTCCAGGAATTTGCTTCCTACCTATTATGCAGAAAATTCACTGAATTTTCCAAAAACATCTGCACACCCGTTTTCATGTATAAATTAAATTTGGCAATAGGTAATGTGGCTTGGCTTCTTTCTGCTGAACGCGGTTCAAATAACACAAGAACACAAATATTTCTATTTTATATATTTATAAATAATTATAATATATTTTATTTATAATATTTTTATAAAACTTTGAAAACGAACTTTGAGAACTTACGAAACTTTGAAAGCTTGTATATTTTCGAAATTATGAAACTCAAAAGTTCAAGAGCGTCGGTTTTTACGTGAAATTCCCGCTCAGAAACACCTTCCGAAATTGAATTTGTGACGAATTCAACATAAATATTTTGAAAGTTTCGCCAAAAATTTCATGTCCGACCTCTTCTATCACTTTGGTTCACTGTGCGACAGTTTGTTTTTTTTTTGGGAGGGGGGGAGGGGAGTAAGGTCCAGCCGATCGGCGAACAAAAAGACGCGGGGCAATTTTGTAGGTCACTTTCTATGACAGTGCCCGCGCGCGCGACGAGAGAAACGCCCGGAGCCGTCTTGAGATCAGTTCTGCCGTGCTAAGGAAAAACGCTGTATGAACCTTCAGGCGTTGCCAAATTTCCACCCCCAAAACATGAAATCCCTGGTAAACTTATAAATATTTTTCCTCCAATTTTTCAGATAATCTTGTTTGCAATTTCACCTTTTAGTTCCTGAAAATTTCAAGGAAAAATATTCATAACTTTTCTCGACAATTAACATTTTATTGAGGGAAATTTGGCAACTCTTGTATGTTCATACGGCGTTCTCCCCTAGCACGGCGTGCTTTGCGATGAATCGATTGATCTGTCATTTAAACCCACGGAAAAAGATCGATTATTAGGGCGTCCGCAACGAACAACATAATAATCGATTCTTCACCATAGCTTCAAATGGGAAAATATCGATAATCGATTCTACTGTTGGGATCGACTCGGGCTCGGGCAGGAGCATTGATTGATCTGCCATTCAAACCCACGGAAAAAGATCGATTATCCGGGCGTCCGCAACGAACACAAAAATAATCGATTCTTCACCATAGCCTCAAATGGATAAATATCGATCATCCATCATTCTTTGCGCACATTCCGATCAGTAGCGTGGCGTGCATTGCGATATATCGATTGATCTGTCATTCAAACCCACAGAAAAAGATCGATTATCCGGTCGTGCGTAACGAACACCATAGTAATGGATTCTTCACCATAGCTTCAAACGGGTAAATATCGATCATCCATCATTCTTTGCGTACATTCCGATCAGTAGGGTGGCGTGCATTGCGATGCATCGATTGATCTGCCACACTGGACAAAAAAAACACATTGGATCTAGAGTCCAGACTCTTAAAAAAATCGACAAGAAAAAATACTCTTGATTCAATCAGATTTAAGCTTATATCAAGAACCAAGCCTCTTAATTTGAGCGGATTTCCTTTTGATTTAAGCTTAAATCTGATTGAATCAAGAGTCCTTTTTCTTTTCAATGTTTTCAAGAGTCTGGACTCTAGATCCAGAGTGTTTTTTTTTTTTTCCCCCAGTGCGAGCTTCCGCAACAAACACGATAATAATCGATTCTTTACCATAGCTTCATATGGGGAAATATCGATAGTCGATTACTGTTGTTGAGATCGACTTGGGTTCGGGCCGGAGCATCCAGACTGAAAATGGAGCCGCGCTGGCTGGGCCGTCATCGTGGCTGGCCCACTGACTGGAATCGGAATCAGGATCAGCCGCCGCCACAATCAGAAAACCCGTCCGATTAACGATCATCGCCGCCAGCCGCGAGCGATCAGAAAGCTTCGCGCGCACGAGGCCAGGAGTGCCAAACGGAAACCCGGGTGCACAATTTGCACCGAACGGGTGTCTAGAAATTGCCCCCTAAAAATCTGAATTTTCATGTTAGGTGATTATTCGAAATTCTCAGCACCACAAGTGAAAGCTTTTTCTATTCTTCACGATTTCATCATTTGTGCTTTTGTCTTCCCCAAGTTACAACTACTTACTAGTTCTGTAACGAAAACATCTTGCGTCTATATTTTCACTAAATGCGCCGTGATATATAGGTAACAAGTAAATTTGGCCCCCCAAAAATCTTCAATGGCGCCTAAAAATCGGGCTTGATGCGCCACATGCACCGAAAAAAATAATATGCTGTTTTAGCATCTAGGATGTCAAAAATGTGTCTGGTGATCCCAAGATGCTGCCTTTACTGCCCCCACAGTTGAATTTGCATTTACATGATTGAAAATTAACTGTGGGGGCAGTAAAGGCAGCATCTTGGGATCACCAGACACATTTTTGACATCCTAGATGCTTAAAAAGCATATAATTTTTTTCGGTGTGGCTCCTGAAACTCAAAGGTGAGTTTCGAACACTGGTCGTAAGGGAGGGGATATCCCGCATAGTGGCGTTATGCTTTCTTCAATAAGAATTCTCGGTTAAAAGGGAATCCTTATGGAAACTTAAGGGAATACAGGAGTCGCAAAAAATTGGCAACCTTGCTTTTAAGCCATTCGAAACACGAAACCATCCCTCGAACGACAAGGTTGCACGCGTGAAATGAAAAATATGAAAGATTGGACTTTTCCGTGAAATATTTCATGAAACACGAGGCTGTGAAATGTTTCATATTTTTCAGGGGCTAGAGTATGCAATCCGCAGAGTCATACACGGAGAAAAAAACTTCAGCGAGGGGAACTGAACTTCAGTTCACCGACCTGAAAACTACAGTTCATATGGATCACGAAAGTTTTCAGATCACGGAACTCACGTTCCGCAGTTTGGCGGGCTGAGGACTTCGGTTCGGCGGGCTGAGGATTTCGGTTCGGCGAACTGGAGTCTTCAGGTCGGTGAACTGAACTTCAGTTCACTGAGCTGAAGTCATCAGTTCACCGAGCTGAAGTCCTCAGTTCACCGAACTAAGGTATCCTGACGATGCTGTTGAGGCCCCGTGATATTGGGGGG